CCCAAGAGGATGTTTTGCTTTGTGAAAGCAGCTATTATGGCCCTGCTATAGCATCAGATGAAGTTAATCTTGTCAATAGGCGAGGCATCCGTCAGGGAATTCAATTCAGAGAGGAACTTCCGGTAGTAGGCTTTCAGGGCGTTATAGGGCCCGTTATCCAGGGGTTGCATGCCGTGACTAGTATGTACAGGGGAAAAAAAGAACAATATATTATTAAAAAACATATAGTCATGAATTCGTCCTATCACACGCGTTAGACCATATTAAATCAGGAAAAATTAAAAGAAGTCTATTTAAAATAAGGAAAAATCGTATACATACGGAGGTATGGCTCTTGTGGCCATCTAGTATCAAGAAGATAGCCTCAGACTGGTCTCCTCCTCGTTCTTTGTCTGTTTGTGGGAGGAAAACATCCTCTAGCCACTGGCTGTTACGGCGAGCGTACTGAAGAGCTGGGACATGGCCGGCAGCAAGCAGCTATTACTCTATTGACGAGAATATCAAGACTAGAGAGGAAAGGAAGAGAGAGAGAGAGATAGGTATAGTGGGAGGTTGCCCCTTTAAGAGGATCCTCTGGTCAGATCCTTCCCTTATTGGGAAGTATCCGCTTGTCATATGGGAAGGCCTGTACAGGCCGTCACACTACCCCCCCCCCCCTTATTAAAGTCAGTTTACGACGATGATTTCTTCCGAGTTCTCCTTACTCCTTGTGCAGAGCCTCTTACAGGCAGGTTGTCTTTCTTATGATCAGTTAGGTCCTGATTATTAGCAGCAGCCTCTATCCATTACTGTAACCTTTAAGGGGGACCTGGCGCCTTAGGATTTACGTCATGGAACTCTTTGACGTGTACAGCCGAGTTTCTAAAGTTAGCTGCTGGGTACCACATCGGGTCAGGATCATGACCTGTTCATTCAGCCTGGTACTCCAGCTTGCCCCGGGTTAGGCGGGAGGACAGAATTTTGTTAACTTCTCACTCAGGAACCCCATCCACGTCGACGGGAGGCGGTGGAGAGATCACCTGACCTGGGACAGGGTCATCTGGTGACCGTACTAAGCGGCTTGCGTTGATGACACAATGAGCGTTTATCCTAGGGGGTAAGTCAATCTCAAAGGCGTTCTCATTGATTTGTTTGATAACCCGATATGGTCTCATATAAGGGTTGTCCAACCCATTATGTGGGCGGTCAGTACGCCACGCTCCTTTGCGTACATATACCATATCTTCTGGCTTCCAGTCAATTGGTCGTCAGGACTTGTCAGCCTGCTTTTTGTACTTTGCTTGTGCCTTAAAGAGGTTGATTTTGGCCTATGCCACGGCCTGTGCACGGCGTCCAGCAAACTCTTGAGCGTCTGAACGACTCAGCCGCTCTGTAATAAATGTCTTTCTTGAGAGGGGACTGCATTTATCCCAGTCAAATGTTATAATTAGAAGAAACCCTATTTCAACCTTAGATGGAGATAAGCCAGTACTTACATGAGATTGTGTGGCATAAGCAAAATTAAGATAGAGCAATAATTGAGACCAGTTATCCTGAAAGTGGCTTATAAAGGGTCGGAGCTTGGTCTGGAGGAACTGGTTGATGATCTCTGTCTGACTATCCGTCTGAGGGTGCTCTGCAGTAGAGCGGCGTAGGTCCATCCCTGTGAGCTTGACTAATTCATCCAAAAAGGCAGCAATGAACTGGGGACCACGGTCTGAAGTCACAGTCTTAGGGGTGCCATAGACTCTCCAAGGTCCATTGAAGTATAAGGTGGCAAGGTCCTTGGCCGTACATGTCTTATATGTTGGAATAGACCACGGGCGTTTGCCTAGTCAGTCTACCACCACATAGATCGTGTCATAGCCTAGCTTGTTTTTTAGCATGATCTTAAAGTCCATAGAGACATGTTACCAAGGACGATCTGGTATAGACAGAGGTTGTAGCAAGCCGGCTGGCTTGAGACGGGAATTGCGGCCTCTGTCATATTCTGGGCAATGAGCGCAATAGCGGTCTATAAAAGCACCCATACCTGGCCAGGAATAACGCTCTGCTACTAAGGCACGCATCTTGTTCTGGCCAGGGTGTGTACAGGAAGGTAATCTGTGAATCTCATCACAAAGTCGTGTGCGTAGGTTCCCCTCATCAGGTACCATGAGGCGTCCCTCTTTTAACAACAAGCCATCAACAAGACTGTAACCCTGCTGACTATGTTTGGCTTTTTCCTGTTCAAGGAGTAGTGTCTCTGAAGAGCGGTTGGTTGTCAAGATGGCATCAATAAGCTGAACACCCTCTAGAGAACTGTCAGGGTCCTGGTTGTTGGCTTCCAAGGTGGCCACAATGGCACATACCAGGTTGTCTTCTGGACTAGGTGACGGGTCGGTCACAGGCAGGTCAACAGGTCTATTGAACCTTTCAATAGGTAGGAGGATCTAGCAGCGACTTTCATCCTTGATGGCTTTCTGTGTAGCCAGATCTACAGCTTTCCGTGACAGAGTATCAGCTATCAGGTTCTCTCTACCTGGACAGTACCATCCGACCCCCCGAACCGGCACACCCCCCCAACCGGCACAGCCAAACCCCATAATCACCACCAAAAGTCCCCTTACTCACCTACACGGATTACAGCCCTTTTTGAGGGTATCTAGACTTTCTTTAGATGGTTAGATAGCCCTTTTCTTGGTATTTAGCGGAATATAGATTATTTAATTGCTGGGTCATCGGCATCGGCATTTAACAGCCTCCATGCCCCGCCCTTAAATACAAATTTGCTGTAGAATTCTCTCTGTGAGCCCCTGTCCCTCATGCACCACAGCATCCTGAAGCCAGCCACGATGCCTCCGCCCACGTATACAGAGGATGATGTGGTGGATGCCTACCTAGACGTCACAGATAATGGCATGTCCGTGAGAAAATCCAGCCAAAAATACGGCGTCCCGGCCAGCACGCTGTCAGCACGCATAAGGGGGAGAGGGACTAAAACAGAGGCTCACACCACCGAGCAGAGAATTTCTCCCGAGCAAGAAAGCAAGGTAGCAGCCTGGATATTGTGCCAGGAGACTTTGGGGCTTGCCCCTTCTCATTCAGCCGTCAGGGAAATTGTGGTAGAACTCCTAAAAAGAAAGGGGGATTTCGCACCACTTGGGAACCACTATATGGACAGCTTTAAATGACGCAACCCTACCATTCAGACTAAAATCGGCAAGCGAATGGAATCCGCTCGGTTTAAGGGGTTTACCCCTAAGTCTGTGAACTGGTTCTTCAACATCTTGGAGGACTACGGCTGGGTGAAGCCAGAAAATACGTACAATGTTGATAAGGGCGGCATCATGTCGGGTTTTGGTAACTCTTTCGAGCCCCCTACCCTCACAGTCAACTAACTACCCTTATAGGCATCGATTCCCTAGTTCTGGGAAATTCTGAGACGAGGAAAGCTTTCCTAAAGAGCCCCCAGGGCCGCTCGTGGACATCTTTCATCGAGACCATTTCAGCTACCGGTAGAGTACTCAAACCAGGCTTGATTTTCAAGGGAAAAGATCTTCAAGCGCAGTGGTTCCTCGAGGAATTCCAGAAGATAGCCGACTGGTACTATATAACGTCAGAAAACGGCTGGACCAGTAACGATATCGCCTGCCAGTGGCTTGAGCACGTTTTCATACCACAAGTAGATGAAATTCGTGGCCAGGAGCAGTGGGAACCAGTCCTTTTGATCCTAGATGGCCATGGTAGCCATACCTCCGTACGTACACCAATTTTTTCTATTTTATTTACTGGTTATTTAATTTATTCCGATTTAAATAATAACTGACTGTAGAAAGGACGAATTTATCATGCGGTGTTATTTTGCTAACATCTTGCTATGCTTTTTCCCAGCACATACCAGCCATGGAATGCAACCACTGGATAACGGCCCCTATAACGCCCTCAAGTCCTACTACCAGAGATTCCTCACCCAGTTAAATTCTCTGACTGATTCCTCTCCTGTTAACAAGATCAACTTTATCCGCTGTTATAGCAAGGCAAGGGACATGGCGTTTACGCCAAAAAACATCCGCTCGGGCTTCCGAGTAACGGGGTGCTACCCAATTAGCCGTAAAAAGTGTCTAGATCATCCAGAAATCCAAGAAGACAAGCGGAAGACCCCCGAGCCGGAAGAACAGGAAGACTCGGAGCCGGAGGACCAACAGACCCCTACCACGAGCCGGCAAATCCGGGATTTCGGGAAGAACCGATCCCCAGCCACTCGGCTGAAGTTCCGGAAGATCTCCCATGCCTTTGAGAACCAGGAGACGGAGCTGGCCATAAAAGACCAGAAGATCAGGGCCCTGGAGGCTGAACTGGAGCGGCTACGGCCCAAGAAGAGGAAGAAGATACTAAATCCCAACAAAAAGTTCATGACAATGGTAGAAATACTAGCCCAGGGTGGTAATCCGTTAGTTCCGGTTGCTGTAGAGTCTTTTTCTTCTTCTTCAGAGTCGGAGGTTGTTGAAGACAGGGTGGAGGAGGACGAGGAGGTTGCGGACGCTGAGGAGGCTGTAGAAGCCCCTGTTACAGAAGCCCAGATGACTAGATCTGGGCGGTCAATCCGGGCGCCGGCTAGATACGTCGATTGAGCAGCCAAAACACCACAGAATGATAATTTTTCTGATTTTTTCGACCCTATACAGCCTCAAATGCGTGTAAGTGAGTAGGGGGGTCTTTTGGTGGTGGTGGCGGGGTTTGGCTGTGCCGGTAGTGGGGGTGTGCCGGTTCGGGGGGTCGGATGGTAGTAGCACTTTTCTTCACTCAGTCGTCTTTCATCTATGTGCATACAAACAGCGATTCCTCTGCGGCTAAACTCTTTCAAAACTGACAAGTTATCAGATCTTGCACGCACTTAATGGAGACGGGCTGATCCCCCGAACCCTTCAACATCACCTTGACGCCGTACTTCTTCCCGCTTAACCACTCCGCGCTCAACTACTGCTCACTTGATTAGAGCCCCTATTAGAGAGGCGCCATCTCTCGGAAGGTGCACAACCTCACAGCTTGAAAGCCAATCCCTCATCCGGCCTCACGCGCCCCCGAGCCAACTCATCCCACCCCTCCCTCACATCCACCATCCCCTCGCCCCACCGCACCTTAAACCCCTTCACTCCCTCCTCCCGCATCGTCACCCACGACGCCCCCAGGCCCTCAAAGTAAGCCCGCTCGCCCACCTTGCCCATCGCCGCACTGCGCATATCATCCGCATTCGCCTGTACCATCTCAAACGGTGGCGCCGGCGGCTTTCCCGCCGCTGTTCCATCGTCCTTGCCCGGGTCCGACACCTCCCCGCCGATGGCCACGAACAGGAGCTCGGCAACCGCTGGCTGAAGTGCCGCAGCCCATTTCGCAGGCGCGCCGCCTCGCCCGCCAAAGTCGAAGATGACGACTTTGTCATCACGCAGGTCCTTGGGGTCCGCTCCTAGACCTGCCAGGACGGCCACTGGGTCGGTCTGAGAGGAAGAGGACATGACGGCGTCGTAGAGCCCAGTCCCCTCGACGAAAGACCGCGACCACTCGCTCGCAACGCCCACGACTCGGCGGGGCTTCGCGCCCGTGCGCGCAGGCGAGCGCAGGACGTGCGCAAAAGCCAGCGCGACCTTCGACCCGGGCGCGAACACCAGTACCGTCGCATCGTCCAGATCTGCCTTCCCCGCCCCCCAGCCCGTCGGGTCCGGGCCAGGCGGCACGGTCGCGTGCGGGTCGGGCGCGAAGACGAAGGCCGAGAGCAGGTACGCGGTCTCGTGCATGACGCGCAGCAGGGCATCGTAGGCGACGCCGTCGGCCCTGCGGGCGATCTCGGCCGAGAGTGCTTCGGGGTCGGGGACCACGATGTAGCGGTTGTAGATTGGCATCAGGTGCTGACGGTAAGCGCTCGTGACGAGGACCTGGCCCGGGACGGCGCCGGCGCGGACATCCATGTCGAGCGGCAGCGTGCCGATCGGGAGGTAGCCCCAGAGGTAGCTGCCGGGCGGGGCGGCGGCGGAGGTGGACTCGAGAACCCGGGCGTAGCCCCAGCAGTTGATGCGGCCGTAGGTGTCGGCGTCGTTGTAGGGCGCCAGCGTCGAGGCCGGTAGCGGGTGGACGTCCCACCAGTTGAGCAGCGAGCCGAGCTTGCAGTAGGTGAAGTTGTTCATGGTCAGACACATTACTTCGGTCTTGATTCTCAGGGAGGAGGCGGCCAAGGGCGGCAGCGGCAGCTCGTTTGGGAGCGGCACGAGGGCCTGCTTGAAGAAATCCTTCTTGTCGAGGATTTGGATTACTGGGACTTCTGCCATGGTGACGAGTAATGTTTCTGCTTGATCGTATGTGACTGACTTTTCCAAAGGTGCTGGCAGCCAGTCAGCTCGAATGTTGGTTGATAACTTGATATAGAACGGCGCCGGCCCGGTTTCGGGCCGCTCGACTCACTGCTGTGCCACCTATTAATGCTACCGGTACGGGTTGTAATTGACCACTTTGTTGTTTCTCAGCTGGCGAGTTCCTGTGCTGTTCACAGGACGGATGTGACGAACCACTTCAGATCTTATATCTGTGGGATACCACTCACACAATCTGTCACATCGGCTTACGGCCTCTTCTTTTGACGATTTACTTTAGTCCGAGTACGCATGTTTCTCGCACTCGCACTCGCTCCGGTGCATACCATCGAAGTTCGGTCCATAATGAGTCCTACGACGATCCTGACCTACCTTAGTGCTTACCTGCCAGTCGGAAAATCTATCAGGACGCAGACACCTGCAGTGGTTCGATTGGGATCAAGGCACAGATATACGGACTGCAACACTAAAGATCAACGTAGCAGTCTGATTATAAGGCATATGAGTAGGTACCCGTATATGTGACGTCCAGCCATTTCCCAAAATGATAGAGCTCTTTGGATGTGCATGTTCGAAGGGAGCAGCCGCCCAGGACTGCCAGGTTACCCCTGACATAAACCCGTAGGCTTCGGTCCCGAATAACCCCTGGAGCCGAGACCCCACCCAAGCTCTGAGCTCCCGACTTGGAAGCTCTCTCCGTCATGGATATTCTCTCGGGCCCGGACACCATATCATGACAGACAAAGCAGCATCACTCCGAACCACATAAGTACATCTAACTGGTGGTACAGCCTGTATATTCAAGTCTAGCATTGACTTCGTTGCTGTGCAGTGATAGTGACAGATTGACTTACAACCTCAAGACAACTGTATACCTCCATCAACCAGAACTCCAACAACCACCCACCCCGGCGAACGCGAGCGAATCGGCCCAACCGCCCAAGATGACCGCCTACAACGACAAAAAACCCTTCGATCTGATCAAACGCGGCGAGAAAGCCCCCACGCCCGCCGGCACCCTAACATTCACCACCCTCCGTCTCCTCGACCTACCCATCCAACACGCGCTCCTCACGCTCCCCGCCGGGCTGGGCATCCGGCTCCTCTCCAGCCTCGGCCTCACCGCCATCGCCTCCCTCTCCGCGCCCGGCAGCACACTCTTTCACACGGGTCTCCCCTTCCTCGACAACCTCGCCGGAAGCGGCGTGGGCATAATCCTCCTAGCCATGGCCTGCGGCTCAGCCGCGAAGCAGATATACTGGCAACTGCGTCTAAGCCAAGAGAGCTTCCCGCCAGCCGCCGCAACGGCCGTGAGTTTCTACAACACGCTAGTCAATTCCGCGAACTCGTTGCTGTTCATGGCGCTGGCGACGACGTCCCTGCGCTCGCAGCCTCTGCTGTCGATCCCCCTGCCAAACTTCATCTCCGAGTCGAACGCCCTGCTGCCGGCAAGCGTAGTAATCGGCACAGCCCTCTACGTAACCGGCCTAACCATCGAGACGCTCGCCGAGCACCAGCGCGCCCAGTTCAAGGCGCGCCCGGAAAACAAGGGCAAGGTGTGCAAGCAGGGCCTATGGTCGTGGGCGCGCCACGTCAATTATTTTGGCTACAGCCTGTGGCGCGGCGGGTACTGCATGGTGGCCAGCGGCTGGGTCGGCGGGCTGGCCATGGGCCTGTTCCAGGGCTGGGACCTGAGCCAGCGGGCCGTCGCCACGCTGGATGCGTACTGCTCGGACCGGTACGGGCAGCAGTGGCGGCAGTTCAAGATGGAGGTGCCGTACCGGATCGTTCCGGGCGTCTACTAGATAGACGGAGCAGGGTGGGTGGCCTTTGTTAGGATGATAGTGTGGCCTATGGTGAGTTTGTAAGATCAGTGCAAGTCTAGATAGACATTGTTGGTGGTCAAGATATGGTTAAGAGTCGGCTGATGTAGCCGCTCACGAAAAACAAGAGCTTCAGAATCTGTGATCTGGCTAGATACACAGCCAGAGAGCTACCTAGGTAGCTGGAAGCCAACAAGATACTATACAGCCAACAACAACCACCGTGCCACCTGCAGCAAATCAACTAGGTTGTCTCTACCTCCCCACGCCATGCCACGCCGCTGACGTTGGTATCTCGGTAGCCAATGACTCCAATCAAGAAGCAATTCCACTCATATACTGCAAACCCGCCCCGAAACGCCATACTTGATACATGCAGTTTGCTTCCGAATTATGATTCGCCTTTGCCCCAGGGAGCTAGGCCTTCTGTTGATTTTTTGATCCGCCTCAATGACGCAAGCCCTGGCGAGCTATACTTGTCGTAGCGGTAACTCGGCGTAATGGATGTTCTTGGTCCATCGAGGAAGCTTCTTGTCCAGCTCATACGCGCGACCGCAGTTGGCGCACAGCGACTGTGTACCAATTAGCGAAAAGTGTCGATACATCAGCACCAGTATGACTTACCCTAGGACCATATGGACCATCCCTGACCGCCCAAACGCTGGAACCCCAGATACGGCAGTGGGTGCAGCGCCAGTTAAGCCTCTCTTGATCGGTAAGAGAGCCACCACCGCCTCCACCATACCCAGCATCCGGTGTACCACGGCCACCTGGTGTACCGGACCGTCCAAGCGGACTCAGACTCCGGAATCTTCGCTTCTTCTTGGACCTTTCACCTCGACCCATGCGTTCTTCTTCGACTTCTGCGCCCACACCGAAGCTTCCTCCAAACGGCATGCCTCCTACCATGCCAGCGTTACTGCTGAACCTCGCCGTCTCACGACGGAGGCGACGAATCTGTCGTTCCCGGTCACCCTCTCGCTTCTCGATTTCCTCTTGTGATAGCAGCTCAATCTTCGGTTCCCACCCGTCTGCTAGATGTTCCGGGTCGTATCGCCAGCCGGCATCACCACCATGAGCCGCATCGTTCGGGAGTTCAGTGCCCATCGCACCCCATCCAGCCACCAGACCACCCGCCTCACAAGCTTCCTTCTTCAGACGCAACACGGCCTCGTAGATCGCGTGCGTCAGAGCAGGGACCCATTCGCCGGAGAGTCCAAGATCGGAGCAGGTAATCTTGGCGAACGCTTCTGCTGTACCAGGTGGGTGCAGCAGCGACCACTCAAATTTGTCGGTGTAGAGTTCCGAGGAGAGGTTCACGTTGAGCGTGACGATGCAACGATAGGTGTCGTCGGCACTGAAATCTTCAGAGTCTGCAGGGATTGGCGTAGCAGTGGCAGTGACATCTTGAAGGTGCAAAGGTAGGGTCCTCATAGGGGTCTCGAGTCCGTTTCGCATTGGGGTTTCTGGGCCGCGAGCGGACTGCTGTAGGGGCGTGGCAGGTGTAGCTGGGCTATCGCGCGCGGTGGACTGGGGAGCTTGGGTTGTGCCATTCGGAGGTGTTCTGTCTTCGGAATGGAAGAGTGGATGAAGCGCGACTCCTGCGTACTCTTCCAGCTGGGTTCTGATCTGCTTGCTGATCTCACCAGCGACAGAAGTATAGTTGGGCAAGTCGAGATCTTGCACCAGAGTAAGGGCGAATTGATCGGTAGTAATGACCGTCTCGTGCAGATTCCAGAGAAATATGTCCCGCAGCTTGTATGGCACCGTCATCTCCTGCGCCCTGTAAAGTGTCGGGTCCATGTGTGAGCTGGGCTGCGTGAGGCCTCGAGGTAGGGGATACGGAGCGGCGGGCATGAAGGCGGGGATGTCGACATCGATGCGAATGGGGATGAGGGTGACTGGCATCGCGGCCTGGGCTTGGGCGTTGAGGTCGGAGCGGTGTTTAGACTTGGTCATCCACTCCCTCCATATTCCCTGGAGCTGTACTGGTCTGTTTGTCTCTTTCCCAACCTTGTCACTCGGCTCGGCCCTCGAATTGCTATCCTCATGCCGTATGCTGCGCAAGCCTGTAGGGCGCCTTCGACTGTCGTCATCGTCTTCATCATAATCGTACCCGTCCTCAGCGTAGTTAATCACTGTAGTACCGCGTTTAGTTGTCCGCGATACGGGTCCAGCCGGCGCAGTGGACTGGACGATGGGGGCTAGAAGGGAGTTATTGTAGGCGCGCAGTCGAGGCGCATAGCTCGAGGAGAATGCCTGCGGGAGACTTCGAGTCTCCATGTTGTCTGCTGTGGTCGGCGACTATGTCATCGCATAGCCTGAGGGAACAAGTGGTGGATGGTGCTGCTGGAGAACCTGACAAGCAACGCGCCAAGGGAGAGGGCAGACTCGAGCCGTTGGTCGGTCGATTGATCGGCGGGGGCTGAAGCCTGAAGGGAAGGGCGCGATGGGGTGGCGCTAGAACGGCCCTGCAGTTAGTTCAAGCTGGGTGTCAGAAATCGTAGTCAAATCGTTGTGTTCGCAACGGTGGTTGTTGTTGGAAGTGAGTCGGTGTTCGGTCTGCGGTCTGCAGGTGTGTGCTTCGCGCCTTGTATGCAATGCAAGCTAGCTGATCCAGTTTGTTCCTGCCGCAGGCGCGTCGTGTAAATTTTCCAGGTGTCGCCCTCAGAAGCTCGGACCATCTATTGTGCACAGGATATCATGTGGGGCGGCCGACCTGGGGGTCCAGGCTTTATGCAACTGTGCATACCAAGTGCAGACTCCCTCCCGTCTTGTCTTTAAATGACGACCGTCCACATGCCACCACTTGTCAACTAACCACTCGAGCATGTCTTTTCCAAGACATCAGATATGACTGATCAAGTCACCAGTATGTAATATTATAAATTTGGGTCTTTCCTGCATGTAACCAGTCTAACTTGAAGCCTCCCAGCCTTGTTACATTGAGTCATCTGCTGCGTGACAATGCTAGAGCCACTCTCATGCTCTGCAACTTGCCCCTTTAGCTCGCACCAGCAGGATGGTGTACCTACACTCTAGCTCAGTGTAAGAACCCGAGACTCGAGATATGACTAGTCTTTCGTAGATATTTGGGTAGTGAAATGGCAACGACTACAGTCCATCGTGTCGGCGGATAATGGTCAAACGGTGAAAGTTACTCGGTTCATATACAAAGAGAAAAGCGTCCCCTCCCCACGTCTCCGGCATCTCTCTTCTTACCTCTCTCTTAACCTAATGAAACTCGACTGCCTATTTACCACTCAGATAGAGCTCAACATGCGCACACAAGCCATCCACCATGCCTCGGCAGCCATCCTCTGCGCTGCCCTACTATCCAAAGCCTACCCCATCCCAGCTAATCTAGCCACCGAAGCACGCACGCCATGCGAACTCGGGACAGGACGAGGTGTCAATGCTGACCAATATCCGCCAGGCTGCGTTCCAGAGAGCGAAGATATCACAACTGTGCATAGCAATTCTGGGATCGGGTCCGCCGCCACTGGTACCCCTTCTGTCGACGATTTATTATATTTTATTCTTAAGCTCTTCGACGGCAAGGGAGAAGCCAAACCCGGAAGCCACGTCTCTACCCCAACCCCAACCCCAACCCCAACCCCAACCATCGAAGTATATCATCGCCAGGTTGAGAACACATGGAAGACCGGCAATATGGTGGGTGTGACACTGGCAATCCTGTGTATGCGGATGCCTGCTATTGCGTATCTCATCTACCTCTTTCCCGCGAAACGCAAGTAGGCGAGTGCGGAAGGAGCGCGGCACTGATCGGGTGACTGCGAGTTCGTGGTCCTTTCCACCTTCGGGTTCTTGTCCACCATACTACAAGTTAACGTGTCTAGTCAGTGAAAGTAGATGCATGCTCGGGGATGGCAGGCCTCTTCATGTTAGAACGGTGGAATGGATCGTTCAAGTATGTGGTGCTTGACGTACTCCGCTCGATGCAGCATATCGCACTCTGGCGACAATGGACAACGATGCAAGGCAGCCTAGGAAGTTATATAAGTGTCATTATGTTTAAGCACGCTAGGTAGTCGGCTTTGGTAACTGCTCCCTCACTCACGCAGTCAGTCATTCGTGATTACCTTACTCATAATCTAATAAACGATACATTACAATAGACATCCATGGCCTGACAAACGCAAGGTAGCCGAACCCGCCCGTCTCGCCGTTCTCATGATGCATTCAGTCCCCGGACCAAGTATGTCAGTCCTAGTCAGTCCTGCGGCACGATGCTTGGTGGTTGGGGTGGGGGTGTTAAGGTTCGCGAGGTAGGAGGTCACGAGTGAGGGAGCTTAGTTTGGCTGAGCTGTCGAGCCGTGGGCGGAAGCACACGTGGAAGGTAAAGCGGCAACATATAATAGTCTACTGCGGTAATACAGACTGCGATGGCCACAGGGTGTCGTTGTGTAGGGGGCATTGTGTTGTGGATACGTTGTTATGCGCGTTGGTTAAGGGTGATCGAGGGTACCTTAGACTGATTGTTGCCATGGGCGAGTAAGCTGGTGAGCATTGCAGTCAGTATTGCTGGCAGTATTCGGACATTCCCATACCTTCCAGTTGCCCCTGTCTGGCTTCAACGAGAAAGGGGGGGCTGGGTGGTGTGGGGTGGCTGAAGCAAGAACGATGATGTGGAATGACCTTATATTGCGGGCACAGAGGCCAGTGTACTTCCGGCAAGGGAGAGATCCCCCTTACGACGATCTAGGGTATCCAATTATGATTAAGCGTGGCTTTGGTGTACAGTACAGTATGTTTTCCGATGGTCAGGTTCTCGAGGTGCGCTTGGTGCGCTGCGTCGTTTCCATTGCCATGATGCTGAGAAAAGGGGGCAAAAGGCACACGAAGGCCGTGTTTCTAGTAAACAGACATCTAAGAAGGAAAAAGAGAAGTACATAATCGACACACAGCCAGATATCGTGGCCCTATTCCTCATCTGCCGTGCGCCAACCTGCGTCACTATCATCGTCGCCATCGCCACAATTCTCGTGATCAGCACCCTCGATTCCACCAGCGTCGTCCGCCTCATATCCTACAGACCTTTCGTCCTCGGAGTCGATCTCCACGATAGACCGATCGCTCTCGCCTTCAGATCCACTATCCTCATCCGTGTCAACAAAAGGGTCCTTCTCCTCGTCAAACGGCGAGACCTTCATCCTATCCCTCGCCACAGGCACATACTCATCCAGACTCTCAATAGCAAGCTCGATCCTTCCAGCCCTGACATCCAAGTCAATAGCCCTGAAAGTCTCGCCCTCCCACTCGATCTTATCTCTCACTTTCCTCTCAACCAACCACCTCAGCTCTTCCCTCACCTCCTGTAAATCACCTTCCCTGAGCATCGCGACAACTATCTCTATCTTCGTGATCTCCCTTTGAAGGACGGTGTCTCTCACCTCTCTTAGGAGCGCCTCAAATGCCGCCGTCTCCACTGCCCCCGGCCGCACCCAGTCAGGAAGCGCTTCTTCCGGGCTGCACACTAGCTGCCACCGAAACCAGCTCAAGGGCGTATCTGCCCTTTGGGTTGACTTCGTAGTGCGGATATCGAGATCGATCTTCTGGTGGGCCGTACGTAGCGCATTGATCACCGCCAAGTTTGGGCTGTCGCCAGCCTGATACAGGATGTTGCCGCCGTTTTTGTCAATGACATCGGCGCGCGCCCCGTGCTCGAGAAGTAGGCTCGCTGCGGTATCATTCCCCCTCAACACGGCGTTGAGCAGTGGCGTACGCCCCAAATATCGCGGGACTCCATCAACCGCCACCCGCCCGCCACGAGTATTATCTGCAGCTTCGCCATCTGGATGTCGATTTCCCAATACGCACAGGACATGGATAGCCTATGCAGCACGGTGTGTCCAGCCAAGTCCGTGGCTGCTATAGACGCGCCACTGACTAGAAGGTCTTTCACCAGGCCAACGCTCGCTGCATAACTATGCCACGCGACGTAGAACAATGGTGTATATGGCCACCTGTCGCTTGCGTTGACGTCGCTGCGCTTCCCGAGCAGCAGCTGCGCACACCCGAAGGCCCCGGTGGCGACCGCGATATGGAGCGGGGTGCGGCGCCAGTGGTTTCTGACTTCGAGTTTTGCACCATGGCGCAGGAGCGTATGCACAACATTGAAGTCGTTCAACTGACAGGCGAGGTGGAGGATAGTAGATCCTGTTGGTCCAGTGGTATGGAGAAGCTGTGGCTTCTCTGCGAGCATGCGGTCGAGATGTTCGGGCTGACTGATCGCGTCGAAGAGCTCCGAAACCTCGTCATCGTCATCCGCATCCGCCAACTGAATGATGGCCTTGAGGCAGTGCGCTTGGTCGTCTGACAGCGTATGGCTTCCACGGTATAATATCATGCGAGCGTGCCATGCACTATTCCTGATTATATCGTTTGGTTAGCAAAGTGTCCCAGCAATGACACAGCGGTGCATTGAGGGACTTGCCTCGCAGCCTCTCTGCTTCGCAGCACGGTAGAAAACCTAGAAAGGGATGCTTGTATCAGTGAATATGCCCCCTCGTTGAGCATGTACTAAACGGGTCAGCTGGCACTCTGGAAGCCTTGGAGAACGACGGCAATTGGGTCCAATTACTTCAAATAAACTCTGTCCCGCCTCGTTGATATCCGTTATCCTTAACCGGTTCTTGGTAAGGCTTTCAAAAAATCTGCCATAACTGTCCACTTTGATCGACGCGAATATCCAATCGCCGCGAGATATCAAGACAGTCGGGCGCAGTGACATCGAAATACGGAACAAAGGGCCAAAAGAAATAGCGCCGGCGATAGCCGTGCTGGACAGCCACCGCAAAGGGAGCCGGAACTGAAGCTCGGTCGAAGGGCGCAGCTCGTCACAATCACACTCAATACACCGTCGAGGTCGCCGACGGTAAGACAAGTATCCGCCGGCGAAGATGGAAATACGCCCGCTGCTTCCTTGGCTCAACTGTCGCCGGGAATAATGACACGAACACAGGCAGCTACGGCTCAATTGCCTGCGCCCAGACAACTGATCGTTGACGGGGGGCGTGCTTTGGACGAGTCCGAGGACCGCAACTTCGACGTCCGTTTGACGTTGCTGCCGAGGACCGCAACTGGCAACCGCATTATTCTTAAAGTCCTTGTCATCGGTTAAAGTATCGTGAGCTCCACTGCCACGACGTGCGGCTTCCGCAGTAGCGGTTAGGATGACAGTAGACTCCTGGACATGGGCATGTATGTTGACGAGTAGCCCCCCCTGTTTGCTATACAGTGTTAGTAAGTAATGGGGCAGGGTTTGACGTCGTGGACACTTTACCGAGTGGCTTGGCCCATGACGAAATTATGAAGTCTATCCTGCTCATTTCTCAGTTCGATGCATCTGTTCCTCAGACTCACGATCTTCTTCTTTTTCTGTGGCCACCTCACCCGCCAAAGTCTTGGATTCACTGTCTTATCAACTACGCAGGCTTGGACGACACCCTGCAGCTCCTTTATGGAACCCTCGAGTTCTGTCCTGAGCTGGAGCATATATGGCGGCTCGTTGACCTCAGCAGCTCCGATGTTCCGTTGCTGGTGAACTCAGTAATATCGTGTCGAACGAGCTCGTAAAATGACGTTACTTTCGCAAGCTGGCTAGGAGTTAGTTCCTGATACAGCGATTCTCACGGTGCACTCAGCCCTCATAAGTCTCCGTAAGCGCCATGTTGAAAGGATTCCATATCACACGTAAAGATTTGTAAATACTGGAATAAGCAGACAGGAACAGGCAGCTCGTAGCTATAAAACCATCTCCGATGCTTATTCCAGCGTGCTTATTCCACTTATGATAAACGCACCTTTGGCTTGGTGGATGAGGAGTTTACGGAGACATATGAGGGCTCAGTGTATCGGGTATGCTACTTGCCTCTGATGCCAGTTCCTTCAGCTCGCTCTCCGCCTCGGCGATGGACTTGAGCGGTTTGACGATCTTCGGCACAGTCGCAATAGTCTGGCCTATGGCGATGAAGCTCGCAATACCGCCTATCACCTCCATTATCGGTCCAGGAGATGCGATCTGCTCCCTGAAAGCCGCTCGGAATTAAATGGATAGGTAGGTAGGTAGGAAGCCTGCAAAATCTGGCGCCGAATGTCGACTGGAACCACCAAGTACGGCCGCGGGAGCAGCGGCTTGGGAGTCGGGCAAAACTGGAGGAGATTTGGAGAATAGAATAAAATCAAGGAGAAGAAGTCGCGGACCAGAGCCTGACCCAAAGTCAGCAGAACGCCACCGACGAAACATGCTGCGCGTCTGACCACCTGACCACCCGCAGCGAGGCTGAGCAAGTGGAAAAGGTGCGGACGAGTGAACGGGAAGAGCAGACCGGTTGGACGTGAAGCCGATAGCCCATATGATGTATCCCCTCATTCTGCAGGACGTGGGCCAATAGTCGCGCCTTCCTCGGGCCATATGAATGCTCAACAATGCCACATCGCGCAGTAACTGCCAAATTCGTAGATGTTGTGCTACCCCATATGCCGAAACCGCAAGCCTGCGCGTTCCAGTAATTCTGCATGCGAGCAATACTAACACCTTCAGATTCAGCGGCAAACCAACGAAGATAACAGAAATGCGAGAGTTATACATTAGCTAGTAAGGTAGTTTCTATACAGGCAAAGCTCCATAAGCGCGTAAACCAACTGGGATATATGCACGGTGGCTGCTCCGCGCCATCGTAAGGTGACAATGCGTGACCGGAAATACCAGAGCTCCACTCCGTAATTTCCATACTGATCCTCCCTTTTGCCGTCGTGGGTATACAAACACACACATATATAAGCTCCACTAGAAGCGTTCGCGTCCATCGTACGGTTCAACGGTCGGTATGCCTGCAGGCATAGCGCATACAATCCATCTCTCCGCCTGTCGCGAGATAAACTTTGCCCATATTAGGGGGTCATCGATCCGACAAGTTCAAATGCACCGCGCGCCCATTCAACGCGCGCTCGCCCGCGTACTCCTGCCCCTCTCCTCGGGCCGCTTGCTGCTATTCGTGAGCCGCATCCAGTCCTCCCACTCCTTGCTGATCTCCATCAGCACAGAGCCCATGACGCTGGCGCTGGCCATCAGGCCATGGCCCTCGCCCTCCAGCACGCGGACCTCGCATCGCCGCATGGTCTTGCCGAGCCATCTCACGTTATCCACCGGGACACGGGTATCCTTGCTGCCGTGGTGGATGACGACGGGGCGGGTGATGTCGACGTATCGGAACCCGATGGTGTGCCGTCGCTCGAGACAGACGAGCAGGTCAACGGCCGGGTTGGCGCCCGTCGTGGCGAGATCCCAGATCGCGTGCGTAAGACGCGTATCGTAGGTGACCTGTCGTTCCTTGTCGGCCATCGCATCTGCCGCGGCCGTAAGGATGGCAGCTTCTGCGTTGAATTCACCCTCTGCCGGTCGGTACTGGTCCATATTTTCAGTAGCCTCCGGCTGGGGCAGTTTCGGCGCCGCCTTATTTAAAGCAATATTCTCCTTCTCCGAGCTGGGCGTAATGTCGCGTCGGTTGTCCGCTGCTGCCTTCCGCTTAGTCCGACGGGGACTATTCTTAGGGAGCGAGCTGGTGATCGAGCTGCTTGTGGCCGTCATGAAGGAACTGTTTGCAGCTTTGAGAAATGGAGTTGGTAGAGCCCGCAAAATTCGCTGCGACGTGGGTATTGCGTTAGTGGGCGGCATTGTCTGCGATGTCCCAAATACGTTCATCTGCGAAGGGGGAATCCATGGAGCTAGGAGATGAATGCGCCCACGGATATGCTGTGGCATACGAAGCGCGGTTGCCAGAGCATATATCGCACCGGCAGAATGCGCAAGGATCGAGAATTTGGTAATCTTGAGTGCCTGGCAAATAGCATAGACGTCGTCTGTGGACCGTCAGTAGGGGGTTGGGGTGAGTCTCGGGATCGCGGCTTACCTGGCCAGCTGAGCGGTGTTGCTGTCCCGTCAGCATAAGCCTCGCTGTCGCCCACACCCGGCCGGTCTGGCGTGATCAGCCGTAGTTTCAGAGTCAAGGCGAGCTCGTCATAAAACGCAGTGATGTATCTGGTCAATCCCATTCCTACGCAGCAAAACACTGCCGAGCCTTCTGCATCGCCGACCTCCGAGAAGGATATCACCCTGCCAGTCTGCGGGTGACGGATCTTCTGCGACAGTCTCGGGGAACATAGGTATGATTCAACAGCATCGTCGACAGAGTCGGCGCTCATGGGCCGCTCGTATCCAACTGTGGGGTCCGGAGTGGCAGGCTCCTTGTGGTCCCTAGGTTCGGGTGTCGACAGATTCTTCAGCCGTGAGCTGCTCCGCTTCAACCTAATCGCATCACCAGGATCCGGGGTCGTACGACCCGACCTGCGACCAGACATCCTACGGTCAGCGCTCTGAGAGCTTTGTCGCCTGCTTTGATAAATGGCGGGCGAAGGGGCGCCTTCTTCTATCCCATATGCGTCATGGGGCTGCTCTGTAGCCTTTTCATGTGTGTAGCTGGGTTCTCGCGACCTTCGAGTGGAAGTGCTGGTCCTGGCAGGACTGGCCATATCTGCTGTCAAGATGTCGTCCCTTCGCCTTCTACTGTCGGCTTCTGAAGTCTGCCGATGAGCGGAACGCCGTTTGGCCACGGCAAGATCGTCAGTTGGAGTATGTTCGGCGTCTTCCGGTATGATGTTTTTCAACCCAGCTTCACATGTTCGCGACGACCTATGTGATGACCTTTTCGCATTGGACCCTGTCTTTCGCAAAGAAGATTCCCTGTTTGGGATTGGCCGGTGAAAGTTGCTGGATTCAAAGGAGGGGCTTCGATCCGGTACCTTCAAAAGTCCGTCTGTAGGCTCTTCGTTGATTGGCGTTTCGGCAAGAAATGGATCGGGCTTAGACGACGAGCCGTTAAAGCTGTTAGACTTTCCTCCGGTTGCACCTGGGCGCTTTCTCTCTGTTGAACTAGCACGGAGCTGTTCCTTGGAGCTCATGTACATCAGACCTTTTTGACTCCTGCCCAGCTTCTTTCCCCAGCTGTCATGCGATCGCTGACGGTGCAGTTCGGACGTTGGCGGCTGTCCTCTCTCGATTGACAAGTTCCCGATGCTGTGAGTGTCATCCTGGGACGAGGCTGAGCTCTTCGACGAAGGTCGTGACGGGTTCCGCAGCAGAGACTTGAAACCCCCGGATGATTCGCGATGGGGAGACTTGGGTGACTTTGGGGCAGTCAAGGGCGATAGACCGGACGGAGGCTTCGCAGTTCGGATAATAGGGGGGCTCGCGGCCAATTCGTCGAGATCGATGCTCTCCTCCTGCAGTCGGTCGAGGCCACCACGGAGATAGGCACCGTATTCAACACCGAAACTGCCCTCTCCGGGGGAGCTTGGAATGGACAAACTCTGGTTGTCGAGGTGCTGATTCGCGGGTTTCGATATAACGGACAGACTGGTGATCAGGGATGAGATGACCTCTGGCGAGGCAGGCGGGAGTGGGACGCGATCTTTGTCGTGGTCGCGAATGTGCAAATGCATGGACGGGTCGACCCCCTTTCGGCTGGAGGACTGACGGGCCTGGGACTGACGGGGAATAGGAGGAGCGGAGGCGGCGGCGGCGCTCCTGGAGGTCGCGTAATCCATAGTAGCGACCAGAGCGGAAGGAGACTTGGACGGCTGAGAATGATTTGCCTAATTGCGTCTGGCGCTGCTCCTCCCGCGCTGCGCGTCTTTGCTTGCTGCAGCCGGCAAGCAAGCGACCTGGCAGTGGTACGGCTGCTATGATGCGGTGCAGTGCGGTGCGGTGGACCGATCGGTAGGTAGGTACGGTACTGCGTAGGTCGAGGCCAAGTGAGGACGGCAAGCAGGCTGGCAGTTGGCAGTTGGCAGGGTGGGAGGCCAGGAGGCTTGGGAGGTTCGAGAAAAGCCGAGATACAATAGACGAGACCGGCTCCCGAGACTGTCTGACTGTAGACGGATTTGCTGCAGGTCCCAGGGGACTGGCATGACTGGGATAGACTGGGACCAAGCGCCTGCCAATTGGGGCCGGACTGTGTCGTAGTCGTCGATCTGACTCGCAATTACAATTTGAGAGGTGGACACGGTGGGGAATGCGACGGGAAAGACGGTAGCGTATGCACGATGGCACGCCGGACTGTCGACGGTCTGGACGGCGGCAGGATTGAGTGATCTCAAGAGAGTTCAAATACCCCCTGAATCGAACTTGACATAAGAAGTCATTCGTTCATTGGAATTACGTTGTAATATTAGGTGCGCGTAACCAGGTTGGACAGCTGTCAGGTTGAATTATCGTGTGCGTCTGTGTGTTGCTGGTTGGTCGCTGTGACTGTGACAGTGACAGACGATGCTCGAGATTGGTCCCGGGTCGGGTTGCCCCTCCAGGCTAATGGCACTCCCGAGGTCGTGCGAATGATAAGGTACCCCAGGGAAGCACGTCGTGATAGGTAGACGGGCACTTGATGATTTTGTCGGCTGGGTTCACCTTGAGGATCATTAGTCACCCATCATTGGTCTCATGATTCTGCTGGCGAGGAATAGAAACATCTGGTAAAGTAGAGGCACATGTAGGTGGGGAGGTATGCAGCCTGCAGGTTCCCTTGGAGGTAATGCGCCTACTGCCTAGTGCATCAACCTTGAAGGTCCTTGGTGTGTAGTGTGCCCCTGAATGAGTCGTTGACAAAGGGGGACGGGATGGTGACTACGGGCTGCAACACGCCTGCACCTCAATGCTGCGTATGCTGGCTCGCTTCAGAGTTACTCATTGTGGCTGCCTTTATATTCATGCGATGGAAACACCAAATACAACAAAGAGGCAGCAGGATGTCAGGTCGGGGATGATAAGATGCAGGCCGGCGCCGGCAATGCAGCTACGCGATGGTCAGTGGGATCTATTTGATACCGGTGCATATGGAGTATCTGGTGCGGCAGGTCGCCGTTCAATCTGCCCCCTCGGTGTCCACGTCTCAGACCCCATTTTCACCTTTTGCTAGTCACCAGACGTGAGGAAAGAAGTCTCCAATGTTGGAGATGGACATCAAGGGGATCGATCCATCCAATGGATGCCGGTTTATGAATTTAGGCCCCGGGCCCCTGTTCCCGGGGTAGGTTGGGCGGAGCTGTGGCTGCATCCCGTCCAGTGCCCACCCCAAAACGTGGGGTCCAAATCTTGAACCTACAAGTTGAAGCTGTTGCTCTGAACATGACTTTCACAACCTCAACAACATTTGCCAATCCATCTCTTATTATACTGGCACATGCATGGTGCTGCATCTTGAAGACGGTTGTGAATGAGCTTATTCATTGACGACTGCTTTCCCTGCTTAAGGTGTGATGGAGCAATGCTCCGACTACCAAGCGACATCACTCAAGCCTGGAGTAGCACTTCTACTACTCGATGAGATGAATTCGAATGGAACGACAGGAATACACGCAATGAGCTCCCACGAAGACCCAATCATCATCGCAAACTGGTAGCCTCTTCGGCATGTCAAGCGAGTAGGGAGTCAACCGGGATCTTGAGGCAACGTGATGAGGTGCGGCTCGGAGATATTTGCTATCCAGGCCCGGGCAACCAACTTGCTCGGCTCACATATGCAGATTTGATGAAATTATCCCAGCGAGAGGCCAGAGGTCTCTTGAAACATTCCATTGGAAGTCTTGATAAATGACATCGAAGACAGGTAGCGGACCCTGAATTGACGCATCGAATCTCTATCCTACAAGCATGAATTAACTAGGTTAGCGTGCCATTGGCCATTGAGGATGCCATTCTCAAAGCCGACTTCCCTCATGTCGGACACGCAAGTCGTCCGAAGTCCGGCATGATACCAACCTCCCCAAGAGCACCGGGTTCCAGCGTTCTACGAGTTGTCCACACCGAGTACATAGGTGTTTCCTGGCGGCCCAACAACTGTCTCAATGGAGAGCATAGTTGAACCAGCTTACTATACTTTATTGCTTCAGCTTGCGTGAACCTGGAATTGGCAGTCCTCACCACCATCATTATCATGCGTGTCGTCATCGAGACCGACACTTATTACTACCTCTCTGACCAACCTCTATCTATCAAACTACGTGCTGCGCATTGAGCTGAAACTTGTATAAGTTGATATCGACCGCTCTCGTATAGGTCTATTGCCTCCAAGAAGTGCTGTCAATTGAGCCGCGGACTACTTTACGGATCGTCGGTTCTATGAGTGCCCACACTCGCGAATAAGGGTTATCCAAAAAATAGTGATAATTGCGATTGTACCGGCTGGAAGAAATGGCTGGATTGAAGGTTCTCGTCGTGGGAGCATCCGTGGCCGGCCCGACGACAGCCTACTGGCTGGCCAAAGCCGGCGCTACAGTCACCGTCATCGAGCGTTTCCCTGAACTACGAACCAGCGGGCAGGCCGTTGATATTCGACTCGCTGGCGTCTCTGTCATGCGGAAGATGCCAGGCATGGAGGCCCAAGTGCGAGCCAAGTCAACACAGGAAGAAGGCGTATCTTTCGTCCGCGAAGATGGTCGACCCTATGGTATCATCAGGGCCACTGGCAACCCAGACCAGCAGTCGCTCATCTCCGAGTTCGAGATCTTCCGCGGCGACCTTGCCATGGTTCTATACGACCTCACTAAGGACAACGAAAGGATCAAATACGTCTTTGGCGAGCAAATCGCGTCGATGCAGCAGAGCGAGACGGATGACGGTCCTATCACGGTCGAGTTTGCAAACGTGCTGCCGACGTCTGAGTATGATCTCGTAGTTGCGTGCGATGGAGCGACCTCGAGGACTCGGGCTATGGGACTTGGCTGCGGCGTTCGGGACCACGTCTTCCCTACCAATTGTTGGACAGCGTACTTCTCCATCAAACATGACCTCATCCAGGGAAGCAGAATAGGCCACGGTTATAGCGCTGTCGGAGGCCGCTCCGTGAGCGTCGGGTCAGATCCATCATCTGGGGGCAGTCGAGTGATGCTGATGGGCGTCCAACCACGAAGCAAAGGCGATGCCGCACTGCCCTTCCGCCAGGCCTCGCTTCAAGGCGACGATGCGCTCAAGAAATACCTCGCGCAGCACTACCAGGGCGTCGGGTGGAAGACCGACATCATAATCCAGGAGATGATGGACGCAGAAGACTTCTACGCCAGCGAGATCGTCCAGGTCAAGCTCCCAAGGCTGTCCAAGGGACGATTCGTCCTAGTCGGCGACGCAGGCTACGCGGCAGGGCCCACGGGCGGCGGTACGAGTCTCGCCCTCGCCGGCGCCTACATGCTGGCGGGCGAGATTGGCAAGCACCCGGGTGATCTCGCGGCAGGTCTCAGGGGCTACGAGGAGCGGATGAGGCCGCTGATCAAGGAGCTCCAGAAGATACCGCCGTTCGGGCTGACGGTCCTCGCGCCGCAGACGGCCTGGGGGATATGGCTGCGCAACCACATTTTCGCTTTCGTCGCTTGGGCGGGCATCGCTGAGTTTGCGCAGAAACACCTGGGCGCCGCGTTTGCCAGTTCCGACACGTATCCGCTGCCGGACTATGAAAGGGTTGACTGAGGGCCGCAGACGACGTTTCTTTATTATTACTGTGGCACACCTGCGCTGTGGCAGGGAAGATGAGCAAGGCAGACGTCAAGCTGTCGAGAAGGCGAGATGCACATGAGCCTTCGCCAATACCAACAGGGCCAAAGTTGACAGTGGTATTCTGAGCCTACTCACTCGCTCCTTCAGGATGGATGGCACAACATGCTGCGGTTCGCGGTGCCGAAATGATGGGGAATTGTCCGGCAGCGGCAATGCAACGGGATCACTTTCCGGCGTTTCCGGTAGCAAATCCCAGCGGAATGGAAGTTTTGGTTCGCATGCAGAAAGCGTTGCATCGTCACATCTGCTGGGAGATGATACTGTTGCATCGAACCAGACGTGCGAGCCCCCACATCTGCCGACTACTGGTACTTGGTAGCGAGGCTTGGAGGATCACGGAGATCGACGATACCAATCTGGCTGGTTGCCTGATACCCGAAACAGCTCTTCTATCAGGGCCGTCAAAAATACGATTCGTATTCGTACTTAGTATCGTGTCGTATCGTATGGGATTTCAATACTATATATATACTATATAGTATTATACATTATAAATTTTATTTATTTCACTTAAAGTACGTTTTAAAGCTAGTTTTAAGTAATAATATTTAATTATTTCAAGTTATGAAGATATATAATAATAATAATAATAATAATAATAATAATAATAAATAATAATAATAATAATAATAATAATAATAATAATAATAATAATAATAATAATAATAATAATAATAATAATAATAATAATAATAATAATAATAATAATAATAATAATAATAATAATAATAATAATAATAATAATAATAATAATAATAATAATAATAATAATAATAATAATAATAATAATAATAATAATAATAATAATAATAATAATAATAATAATAATAATAATAATAATAATAATAATAATAATAATAATAATAATAATAATAATATAATATAAATATAATGTCTATATATAGTATAAAAACTTTATGCATAGGAATTATATATATTGTTAGAACAGGCTTGAACGATCAATCTTAATACTCGAGTATTGGGTCAAGGTCATGATGTTGCTGATGGTTGCATTAGGAGGTTTAGCTGGACCTGAAGGTCTAACTAAGTGACTTCACAGCCCGGTATCTAATCTCTTATCTAATCATACATGTGGATCTAGTATAGATGGTTTGAATGTAGAATCACATGAATCCAACATATATTATAAATAAATATTACGATATTTAAAGCTTAATAGTTATTGAAATAATAACAGTATCAAAAAAACGCTTAAATACGTCTTTAATTATTATTATTTCTTCTTTTAAAACATATAAGTTATGTTATAAAGTCCTACTTTTACCCTTTTATTTAATATCATTATATACGAATTGTATACGATAGTATGGCTTTGTATTGTATCGTATAACTTAAATACGATATTAAGTATCGTATTTTAAGAACTTGTTCTGTATATATACGAAATACGTCAGATAGTTATTATTGTAGTGAATGCTTTTTTGCTATCTGTCTTGCGTTGTACACAGTACCTTGAGAGACCACGAGCTCTGTCCCCCACTTTTCGCCCCTCCAGCATCACCCTGAATATGCTGCTCTCTAAAGCCTGAAATTTCCATGTCCCTATGGCGCAGTGGATAGCGCGTTGCTCTTATACGTGCGACGCAACTCGCAATGCTATGCAAAGGTCGCGAGTTCGACCCTCGCTAGGGACATCTAGCTTTTGCCTCGTTCTAAACCCATTTATTTTTACGCCGTCTGGTTTTTTAATTGCCTGTTTTTCTTAGTAACTCGAATAGGTATATGTAGGTAGATAGGTGCTTTATCGTCTGTTTGCGATGTTTGAGTTCCTTGAAATCGGGGTGAACCTTTTGTGGATGCGGGCTAGCGGTTGCTACGTCATAAGGAACAGCTCCCAGATCCAAGGCAGCTGGAGGCTGCTGAGAGACCACATCGCGAACTTCACCTATTACACCAGACACGTGGAGCTTCCAGGCTGTGTTCGGTGATCTAGGAAGCGCAACTGACAGACCTCTTTCCATCGATTGGTCTTTTATACTGTTTGTTTGTATTGCCTGACTTACTTCCCTCCAATCACGCCGTCGAGATCGGACCTGACGGCGCGCACCAAATACTCTTCTTCCTCACGCATAGCCCGCTTGCGCCGGCCTGAATACACCGCGAAGATGGACGTCCTTCTCTCCCTGCCCATCGTCTCCTACTTCGCCGCGCCGATGCTGACCTCGTGGTCGACCTCGATCAACCTGCTCTTCTTCTACATGACATGGACGACCCTCGTCCTCAGCCACTCGCCGCTGAAAATCGAGCTCGTCGGCACGCTCGCCGTGCGTATAGTCTTCTGGCTCGTGCCCGCGCTCCTTTTCCTGCTCCTCGACACCGGCGTACCGAGCCTCGCCGAGTCGATTAAACACTACGGCACCCCGTCCCTACCACGCCGACACGCCGCGACCCTATCGCGCCAGGTCGTCTTCGCAGTGGTCAACCTCGCGCTTGCCAGCGCGCTGCAGGCCGGCATCTCGATCGCCGCCGCGAAGTTCCTGCAGCGCCCGCTCTTCAAGACGAGCACGACGCTTCCGCTGCCGTGGCAGATCATCAAGCACATCCTGTCGCTGTACACGGCGCGCGAGGTGTTGACGTATTACATCCACCGGTACATCCTACACGCGAAGGGCGGTACCATCGCGAAGTTGCACTCGCAGTACGCGCACGCTCAGAAGGGCGCCGCGCCCTACGCGATCATGCTATACGCGGACCACCCCATCCCACTCATGCTAAACCGCCTGCTCCCGGTCTACCTGCCGGCGCTGGTAATCCGCCCGCACCTGCTGACGTACCTCCTCTTCACCATCCTGACCACCATTGAGGAGATGCTTTCCATGTCCGGCTACAGCGTTGTGCCGGGCATCTTCATGGGTGGCATCGCGCGGCGTACTGCGTCGCACTACGCCAGTCGTGGGAAGGGCAACTACGGCGCCTGGGGACTGCTGGACTGGATCAACGGGACGAGCGTCGGGAAGGATGTCATTGAGGATATCCAGGACGAGGCGGACAAGCACCAGGTCCAGGGGCGGGGACAGAAGGCTATTAGCGATACGGGTAGCATGATGCAGGATGGCATTGATGGGTTGCAGAAGGGACGCAAGGGACGCAAGAAGAGATCGGATGAGTGAGGGACGTGGGCCCTGGGTGGCTTGTTTTTGGTTCATGCTTAGGCTCTGTCTGTCTAAATGGGTTTGGATATTGCCACATTGGCTTCGACTGATTTGCTCGGAGTACGGTTTTCGGCGGCTGCGGATATCCTTGCGGATGATTTCCAGCTCTATACCTCGTCGTTCCTCGGATACCTTATCTTGGGTACTGGTTGCTCTCTAGTGTAGTTGGTTGCTATATACGGCTATGCACATTCTCTACGACGCCATCTGATGCGTACGATGATCCATGATTTTGAATGCCTCTTGCTGGCAACCTTGTTCTTTGGCGTCAAGATAAATACCACAAGTGACGGTGCCCCTGATCGGCCACGCCACGTATACGCATGATGAGTGATGCTGCGGATGTCGCTAAAAGATCATAACTAACGATACGGTAATTACATGACTAGTAGTACTATTACATCGCCGTCGAGTTGGCGTAGTAAGTCGTGAGTGAGCATAGCTCTTAACTCCGAGACCTCTTAGAGGTTATGGGACTGGTTCTTATACTACCTATCCTAACGAAAATAGGGGCTCAACCCCACGGGGAATGGAAAAGCTTGGCGGGGCAACAGCATAGTGTCATGGTTATGACTAGCCACCCATATAAGTGGCCGTAGACGGTGAAGAGCTCGGCTTGACAACGTTCTACCTTTGCCTCATGGCTTAGTAGTGTGGTGGTCATGGTGCTGCATTCCCGTGCCGTCACACAACACATAGACTTGGACCTGGTTCGGACCTGCAGAATTTGGGAGAAACACCTAAGAGTCACTGAGCAAGAAAACAGACCTTGACAGGGGCATTCTAGATATCGGGTACATGCGAGAAGCTATCGCGCTACTTCAGCCACTACTCAGCAGCAGCCCGTCAAAGAAAGGGGCCAGCGCAAGCCTAAGGGACTCGACGGAATGAGAGAGCTTCAAACAATGTATTTATGTTGATCGTAAAAGAAGGACTTGACTAAGAAAGGAAAGCAAAGACATAACCCAGTAACTCCCAACACCTTGAAAGAGTGTAATGGTTAGAAAAGCAATGCCGAAACCCGTAAACCCCCACCCAGAAACCGAGCCCCGACGCCATGAAAGAAAGTAACGCAGCCGAACTGCAACAACTCAGAAACCAAACCCTAGCATATAGATATTTGTCCCCCCGCACTTCCGGTGAAGCTATCGCCACCCAAAGGGTGTCTCAGTCGGTCACTCAGGGGGGTTGAAGTCGCATTGACTGCTGGCCGGAAAAGGGGCACTGAAGCGCCTCCATCGGTGCGTCCTCTACCAAGGTTAAGATTGCGACCTTCACCCCTAGTATTAGTAACCTCGACCACTAGTAGCCAGATCGTGATACTCCGGACAAGTAGCTCGTGGTATGCAACAGAGACCTTGGTAGATCATCATCTTGGTGGACTCGGAGGTGGAGTTGGGACGTCTGGCCGTGGGCCTATCGGGCCTGGCATTCCGGGTGAGGGTTCAGGTGGCCAAGGAGGATGAGGGCAGGGGCTCATGGTCGCGGAGTGTATCCAGAGGATGAAGCAAAAGAGAGATAGATGTAAGTCAGATGGCCTTAGTCGAGCCCGAGTGTCGATGCGATGGTCAAGAGCTGAACCATATCCAGAGAGACAGACACCCTACCTTTATATCCCCGCAGAGAGGCACATGTTTCTCCCAGAAGCCCTTTGTCCACGATGTACGTTGGGAGACTACGCTCAGCAGCGACGAACACTTGTTGGAGGAGGCCTTCACACCAAACCACCCATCTCTTTGACCGACCAGAGTCCAACAGGCAGGAGGATCTCGTACTGCGCGCATGACGGCCTGGTTTCGTCGATTTGGGTGTTGTTGGTGACGTGGTCAGCAGAACGCTTGATGCTTTCGCCCGTCGGACTTTACTCGTTTTTTTGACGGCCGCGATTTTGGTTGGATTATATCTCGTCAGAGGCGGGCGAGTTGCCCGCCGTGTTCAGGTCATACCATGAACAGACCACAGTCCAACGGACAGAAGGATCTCGTAGTGTGCGCATGACGACCTGATTTCGTCGATTCGGGTGCTGTTGGCGATGTGGTAGGCAGAGAGCTCGATGGTTTCGTCCGTTGGGCTTCTCTTGTTTCTTTGATGGCCGCGATGTTTGTTGGGTGCTGTGTCTTCAGGGGCTGACAAGGCGAGTTGGTCGCCGCGTTCAGGTGTGAGGTCCGTTGTCTTTGAAAGGGGGGGGGGGGCTGTTGGATCTCAGACGTGGTTCGATCGGTACCGATCTTGCGCGTCCATCTGTCATCATTCACTGAGACCAGCCAGGAAGGCGGTAGGGCTCAGATGCATAGTTGAGCCTTGCTTCTGCTAACCCCTTCGCAGAGTATGAGGATAGTACATATATAATAGCAAGCCACAGCGAGGTTCCAGGGACCTGAAATCAAAAGTGTGATCAAGTACAAGACTCTCGTGGTAGATAAGTTATGTACACGAGATTGACGCTGGTAAGCACCAAAGGCGCTCTTGACGCGTCCGATCCAACAAGCAACAAGCAACAAGCAACCCTATCGTACATGAAATGACGAGACAGACTGAGAAGTCTGGTACCGAAGACGAAGCCGCGTGGTTCTGTGTAACCCTGTGCCATCGTGCTGGTATGAATAGCCTGGGAGGATTCGAACGAATACGGCAAGCCCTGTTCGTTGGACAGATCCGGGCTGCCGAGGCGACGACCATTTGGCCCTACCTGCACCAACAACGAAGGAATCAGAGGGACTCCTCGCCAGAGGAGAAGTGTCCATGTTCCGATATGTCGACGTCGGGTTCTAGAAAGAGAGAGCGGACAAGACGGACTACCCCTTATCATCTGGACCCTCTTGATCGATCCGCGACCATCTTGATTCTACAAGAGACAATGCCATACCTCAAGAACTGATACTTAGACCACCGAGACGACGACCTTTTTTGCTTTGCAAGAGCCTTGCCCTGTTCGCATGCTCGCTTCATCATCGCACCATAGAAGCCATGAGAGAACACGATATCGGAGGTCTGTACCGGCATTACAAGACATACAGAGTACCTAAGGCTTATGACAAGAACAAGTGACGGAGTGTATTCTGCCTCATATGTCCTGAACCCGCTCCTTCCCTCTATCAAGCTGAGTCTCATTACCCATGATCCTCGTTCACACCGTCAGGTCATCTCAACCACATCAAGCCTGCTACAGCCACAGCCAAAGCCCCCAGGCCACAGCCACAGCCATATAACGCGTTGGGACATTCTTGAACATCCCTTCATCCCACCTACCGCGAAATGGCTGCGTTTATTGGTGAATTGTTCTCGTCCAGGTTCTGGTATCGCATCATTGACCAGCTTCAGGCTTGTCATCCACCTCTTCGTCCACGATGCCCAATCGTCAGCTAGCTTGTAGAAGAACCCACTGATGTCATATACTGAGCTTCGACTTAGTCTTCTTAATGCTACCTAGGGACCTTTGGAAACCTCCTAGCGCCGAATCCGGGCGTAACGTCTACCGTTGAAAGAAGCCCATGCCTTTAGATACAAGTCTGCTTTGCGTGTTATGAGATCATGTATTCTATGACCACGCTAGACCTTTTCGACGAATACATCGACGTTGAGCTCTGCCACATAGCCCTACTGTACAGTTCTGGGGTCAAGTCGCCGCCTACCGTAAAGCGGTAAAACTTTACTATCCCGGCATCGAGATAAACACTACATCTTGCAGTGCTGCTGATCCGCCACGCTACGTATACACATATTAAATAATATTATAAAAGTCGCTAAAAGAATATTATTAAAAATATTGCAATTGCATAACCAGTTTTATGATATCGTAGTCGAGTACGTAGTAAGTCGAGCATGACTCTCAACTCCGAGAGGGCTCGGAGGTTGTGAGACTGGTCTTACACAACCCACTCACCGGCCGGGATTTGCTCCAACATCTGCACTTTCGCCTCACCGAACTGATGCTCAAATATGCTCATACTCACCCATGGACTCGTAAGCCGATATTACTAAAGAGCCGGTCTTCGGTGTTTGCCTCGCTGAGTAGGCGTCCCATGTTGCGTATACATGAGGATGTGCGATATATAAATAACGGCGACGGATCTCCCGTCAGAGCTGTGTTCTTGTCTCTCAAACTCTTACCTATCCCGGGCTGTGACCTATTCACGCTCATAGAAATATATATAAGCTGTGGCAGACAAGATGAGAGTCGGCTCCCTCCTGCGCCTGGTGTTCATCGGCCTCCTTCAGGCATCGCCTTCGATCCAGACCGGCAACGACAACTCGACCGCGCCTTATACCTACCCCACCCGCGTTCTTGCCAACGTCACGGTCATCGACACGCCCCTTGTGCGCGCCGCGCAGACCTACGCCCGCGCCCACAGCAGCGACGTGGTCTGGTCGCACGTCAGTAAGCAGCATCTCCAGTCGTCCCACCCCCTTTTTTCCTCCCGTGCCCAACTTTTGCCTCTTTCCCAGGGGGTTAATACTCACAAAACACGGTTGGGTATTTCCCGCATATTCCTCTTCCGTACCGGGAGAACATCTGCTAACTCAAAATGCCGTAGTGCGTGGCTGGCTATACGGATCCCTCATACTAACCCACAACGCCACGCTGCGCGCCCAGGTCGACCCCGAAGTCCAAGCCGTCGCCGCCATCCTGCACGACCTAGGCTGGGACCAGACGCCCGGGTCGGAGACCGTGAGTGCGGATCGCCGGTTCGAGGTTGACGGCGCCATTGCGGCGTGCGAGTTCATCCATGCGCATCATCATCACTCGGATGATGCAAACGCTACTACCGATGCTGTCAATCTTGGTGATGGTGGCTCGGACCCATGGGACGAGAGCACGGGCCGCACACAGCTCGTCTGGGACGCCATTGCGCTACACACGCAGGACAGCATCTACATGTACAAGCAGCCTGTGGTCATGGTTGTCGGGGCGGGGATCTTGATAGATTTCGCGGGCCCGGCGCATGGGGTTACGCGGGAGGAGTACGATGCCGTGGTGGCTGAGTTTCCGAAGATCGATTTTGTGGCGGGGGTTAATCGGACTTTGGTCTGGCTTTGTCGGAGCAAGCCTGCTACTACATATGGTGAGTTGCTCTGGATTGGGCCTCGGTGTTTTTTTTTCTTGGATTGGTGCTGATTTGGTGCCAGATACCTTCATGCAGCCTTGGGGTGACGACTTTGTGGCCAACTATTCTTCGATTGGCAAGCGGGCCTTTGATCTTATTCTAGGGGGTTCGTCTTGAGTCGGCTGCAACATGGCTACGGGGCTCCATCGAATATTAGATATCGGCCAGCTTGATGAAAGAACAGTCCTGCTCAGGAGGTCGTCTCTTTGGATGAAATCACAAACCTAAAGTTCTAGGTTCGAAGGCATATTGTCTGTTAAACAGTAACATCTCCCACCCCCCTGCGGACCACCCCCCCGCGAACCAGCGCGTTCTGACCCACAAACGCGTAATTCACCAACCACCAGGATTATGGTGATCCACTATCTACACCATCACTTTTGCATCTTTTTTTTCACAAAGCACACTATTTGAATCCTTATCCACTGCTGAATCTCATGATGTCATTTTATGACCGTCAAATAAAAGCTGAAGCCGCCATTTTGGCCATCCAACGCGGAGCTCCAGTCCGCTCGTCAGCCCTCGAATGGCAAATCAGCCGCTCGTACGTCAACCGACGAATCTCTGGCACCCCAACGCGGAATGAGACCAGCGCTCTCCAACAGGCTCTCTCACCGTATCTCAAACATAAGCTGGCAAGCTGGGCCCTGGGGCAAGCACGGTTAGGGTATTCTCTGGCGGTCTCTAAGTTCCGTCTCATGGCCCAGCGGATGCTCCATGCCACCGGGGATGCTCGAGAATTAGGGAAAAATTGGGCATCCAAGTTCCTGTCTCGAAACCCGGAAGTCAAGATAATAAAGTCTCGTGTTATCGACTACAACCGAGTGAATGGTGCTATAGCGGCAAATATCAACATTTTTTTCGATCAGTGTGACGCCCCTGACGTGGTTAACCTCATGCCAGCACGCTGGTACAACGTCGACGAAATGGGAATCGCCCAGGGGGTTGGGGACTCCCATTGGGTGGTCTCCGAGGCCTCCGGCAACGTGGCTATGAAAAAAGGGGTCGAGAAAGGTGAATGGATAACTGCCCTAGAGTGTGTGAGCGGATCTGGTGAGACCTTGCCGCCGCTGGTGATTCTCAAGGGGATTAACATACAAGCCCAGTGGTTTAGCAACCAAAACGAGGGCAAATTCACCGACTAGAGGTTTATTACGTCGCCCAATAGATGGACCTCGAATCCCATTACGTTAGAATGGTTTCAACGTATCTTTATTCCTTACATTCGGGAGGTCCACGGCAACACATGGGTGGTTTTGGTGTGTGATGGCCACGACTCCTACACGAATGACGAGTTCCTAGCCACCTGCTTGAGAAACAAAGTATGGTTGATCTTTTATGAACCTTATTGCTCCCATGTAGTCCAGGTGTTAGATGTGGGAGTCTTCAATTTGGTAAAGAAGAGGTTGAAGACCTTACTCCAGGAGACGCCCAGCGGCCGTCTGGGACTCAGGCCATCTAAGGAGGAGGTTTTGGAGTGCTACGAGCAGGCCCAGAAGGACATAATGACGCTCCTCAACATCAGAATTGCCTGGAAAAAGACTGGGATTGTTCCTCGCAACAGAGCGGAGGCATTGAAGTCGAAATATGTGATTCTGGAGGACAAGGGGGTGGCCAGGGCACGCCAGAGAGACCCTAAGGCTTCTGAGCGAGCCACAACACCAGATTTTCTCGAGATGGTAGCTAAAACCATTGTCACAACACCCTCTGGAAGCCGGGCTTTGCAGGAGAGTGCTCAAAAGCTCAAAAGAAAGGACCCTTCCTTTGGGGGACCCTCTGAGCGCTTATTGGTGCGGAAGGCTGGCAAGGCCATGGATGTTCAGGCTGCTACCATTACAAATCTACGGGCCAAATGTGAGCTGCTTGAGGCTCAAATGACTAAAAAGGCTAATACCACTCAAAAAGCAGTCAAACCAACACCAGGGGAACGATTCGTCACAATGGCTAACATAAGAGAGGCCAAAATGGAGCTGAGGAACAGGAGGGTCTATAGGGACTCTGCTACAGGCGAAGAGGTCCCACAAGAGGTCCCTGGTGAAGATTTAGGGTCGGAATCGGATTCTTGGAGCTGTATTATAGTTAGAACACCACGACCTTAGTGTATTTAGCAACTGTGGTGGTTGTAGATGGCTTCATCTGAATGAGAGTGGTGTGGTGTGGAGTGGTCCGTGGGGGGGTGGTCCGCAGGGGGGGGTGAGATGTTAACCGTGTCTTTCAAATTCTAGCTTCTCGTGTCAAAGCGCCTCGAATATGCACCCCCTCTTACGTTACATAACACCTTCATGTCCGAGTTGAAGTGAATCATTCGCACTGGGAAGATTTGTTGACCTTCCATTTTCATCGAGGACACTAACATTGTGACATCTGTTATATGACTCAACCCCCAGCACTAAACCGATGCTCTAAACCATATAATCATCAAGACCATAACGTGGTCCTCTGTGACCGAGGTTCCAAATCATCGAGTCAAATGCACCATCGCATGGCTATCCTGTAGCCCATCTATGACGGTATGTGGGGTCCTCTAGGGTTGACCGCGCTCCTATCGAGGCTTGTTTCCCGGAGGATTCCCGAGGGCTACCGTTCTCGGGATGATGTAGCCGGATATTCTGCTTACACCAGGCCGGGGTTTCATGGTTGCCTAAAAGCTGATCCGACTGCCATCGTTCCATCCGGTCACCGAATACTAACAATATAAACGTGGCGAGTAGTGCAATGTTGTACATGCTGACAGCCGCCACCTCGGTTCAGGTTGATCGTCCACGTGAATCGCATCAGTACTCAAAGCGGCCACAGAACGCCTTATACAGGATGGAGCTTTGGCACGCAATGCCATGTAGTATTGCCAATCCTCTGCCCCGCTCACAACACAGGCAGCCATCAGCATCGCCTATGTTGTAACAAGCACAATAAGGTATAAATATTTTCAGGGCGGCAATCCACCCTCTGCCAAGGCCAAGTTATCTTAGTACTCGAGAATACAGATATACCTATCCCCTTATTATAAACTTGATAGCAAAACTTGCTACCTCGCCTTTTTAGCCGCCATTGCTCTGGCAGCGACTGCCACCACCACCCATGCTTGGAGGCTCGAGGTCTTCGACGAGAATCAGCGCATGTGCTTCTTGAGACACAAAGTGTGGGAAACATCAGGGACAAAGTCCACAGCGGGAAAGGACCTGCTGGTTAGATACTCGAAAGATGAATGGCCTGTTTGACCGAAGACCGCAGTGGCGAGCGAGCTTGGTGGCTGCACGCTCGCTGTCGCACAGGCAGTACAAGGTGACAGGGAAGATCCCGAGAATGCAGGTGACGCTCTAGCCGAAGGACAGTGCGTGGAATGGCATCCCCTGTGGCGATATCTCGAGGTCATAACGGCGGGGCCATATAAATGGGACACCCCCATATGTGGGACAGCTTTCACAGCAAAAGGCTACGCTTCCACCCACCGATAACTCAATCGAAATTAAAGCTCTAAATAATCTATATAATGCATTCGAATTCCCTTTTCTTGGAGTTCTCAGCAATATTATATTTTTTAGTGATAGCGCGCAGGCTGGTGGATTGCGCGGTGTGAAGATCGCATCACAATGGGCTCGTCGGACTCCTCATCTATGCCATCGCCCCCTTTGTCAATAGCAACCCCTTCATCCTCAGAGGGCCCCAATTCCTCTGATTCTTCTGAATCTGAATCTAGAGAGGGTTTAGACATTAATCTCTCTAATTTGTCAGTATTTAGGTATGTAATTCATGCAAAACTTGTTATTACTTTTCTTGCTGCTTAATAGCAGCTTGTGTGGTTTCTGTATGCTTGATTTGCTCCTGAATAATGTCCTTAATTCTTTAAAGCCATTAATTACGCTCTTTTTGGGGGTGCCTTATGGCGCTTCTTTAGTTATAGATGCTCGATTTTGTCGTCTTTTACTTTTAACAGTTCCCTTATAAGTGTTAGCTTATCTACCATCTTATTGTAGGACTTTGAGCCCTTTTCCAGACCTGTCTACAGATTGGACACCACCCTAAACCATTCAAAGTAGCTGAGGTGGTGATGATCCCAAAACCAGGAAAGAAAGACTACTCCAATCCCAGGGCCTACAGACCAATATCGCTATTGTCGTGTCTTGGCAAAGGCCTAGAACGACTCATCACGAAAAGAATTACCTGGTTTATTGTCAAACTTGGAATTCTAGCTCCACAACATTTTGGAGCTCTACCAAAGCGCTCTGCCACTGACCTGGTAGCTGCACTCATACACGATATTGAGCAGGCCATTGACCAAGGCTTCGTTGCAACAGTAGTCACGTCAGATGTAAAAGGGGCCTTTGATTCTGCCCTAATGGGACGGCTGGTGGTTCGCATGAAAGAACAGGGCTGGCTGGGCTTTCTCATAAGATGGGTCCAGTCATTCATGTCCGAGCGGTCCGCAAGGGTTCGGTTTAAAGATATTGTGACCGATATTAAAGCTCTCACTTGTGGGTTACCACAAGGCTCACCAGCCTCTCCAATCCTTTACATGCTGTATACAGAGCCAATCTGTGCCTGACTTGGTATGAAAAAGAGACGCTTTGGATGTACAGACGATCTAGCGACTCTCTGCATTGAAAAGAACCTTAAAGAAACAGCTACAGAGGCTTTTGAAAAATTTTATTTGCTCAGTTAATGGGGACATAACAACGCTATTAAATTTGACCCTGACAAAACTGAGATCATGCACTTCTTAAGGAAAAAGAACTCAGACAACCCTCCAGTCTGCCACGGGACAATGAACAAAATAGCAAAGGACTCCATGCGATGGCTAGGTGTCTTTCTAGATAGAAAACTAAACTTTAAAAATCATGTTTCTTACTGGGCCAAGAAAGCTAATAAGGTAACAAATCACCTTCGAGGACTATGCAACACAGTCAAAGGACTTCCAGTAAAATCAACCAAGAGGGCTATAAAAGCTTGTGTTATTCCTATTCTTACACACGGCCTGGAGGCCTGGTACCCAGGAATCGAGAAAGTCGGGAGCTTAGGTGGGACATCAGCATGTCGCATTAAAGGGCTTCTTAAAACAATAGATGCCGTACTACGAACAGCGATCAGGGCTATCTTGCCAGTCTAGAAAACACACCCTGGATATATCCTATACTTTGAATCGCAGATTCCCCCAGCAGGAGTTCTTGCAGAGTCAATAAGAAGACGTCACGGCCTCTGACTAGGATGAATAGACCAGAGACACCCTCTTGTTGGCAGGCTCCAAATACAAGCTCACAAGAATCCAACAAGGCTACAAAGGAGCTTCCAGCTAGTCCCTGACTTCCAGAGACCAATACTTACCAGGCCATCATGAAAGAAGCCCCCAATCTGTAAAGACAAAAACAAAGAAATAGAGCTCTTTAAGCAATGGCTACAGGAGAGAAACGTGAACACTGACCTTGTCATCTATTCAGATGGATCATAATTGGACGACCAAGGCACAACCCGCACTAGATGGGGTTATACCATCAGGAAAGGCGGCACTACACAAGAAGTATACCAGGGAAAGGGCAGACTTCTCCAAGCAGAAGTAGTAGATACTGAAGTCCATGGTGCTCTCCAAGGGCTTGCAGCAGCCAGGGTAATTGGATACGGAAAATAGCTATATGTCTGCTTGGACAACACGTCAGTGGTAGATGGGCTTAATAGGACTCCACCCGAGACATCACAGAACATTTTTCTACGATTTCAAGAACTTGCCACAGCACACACTCCTAGAGTGACTGTCAAGTAGATTCCTAGACACAGAGATATTGATAGCAACGAAGCTGCCAATACACTAACAAAGGAGGGTGCCATGCTAAAAACAGACATAATAAACCTTCCTATAATCTCTTGGGTCAAGAGAGATCTCAAAAGAAAGGGCAAGAAAGAGTTCAACCAATAATGAAAAGACCAATCAGAATCTAGATATCAAGAAATATACTCACATACAGTAACTAAAAGTGACCTTATATCTTTTAAGAGGAGTACTTTACACAGACTTCTAGCAGCCAGATCTGGACATGGCGACTTTGCCAGATACTATGAACGCTTTGGGCATACAGACTCGAATAATCACTGCAGCTGTGGTGAGAAGAAAACACCACAACACATATTCTTTTGTAAGAGGCTGGGGAAAAATCAGCTGTTACCTAGGTACTCGCCTAGGACAGCTTGTTTACAATACTTAGGGGAGAGGAGCACAGAATGGGCAAAATTCGTGGAGAAGAGCAAATTCTTTTCAATAATCTGCCCCCAATAGATAGCTATTTTTGAAGGACCAGATGGATGACCCAAGGTCATACCACCGCAACAACGGGGATGGGCTCGTTAGCGGGACTGACTGTACTTATTATCTTGATACCTCCACAACCCTGCGATGCAGAGGCTCTGGGAGGCGTGGTTTGCACTACTGAGGAGCTACCCCCACGTTAAATACGAAACAAACAAACAAACAAACAAAAGAGACCTTATATCTTTTAAGAGGAGTACTTTACACAGACTTCTAGCGGCCAGATCTGGACATGGCGACTTTGCCAGATACCATGAACGCTTTGGGCATACAGACTCGAATGATCACTGTAGCTGTAGTGAGAAGAAAATACCACAATATATTTTCTTTCGTAAGAGGCTGGGGAAAAATTGGCTGCTGCCTAGGTACTCGCCTAGGACAGCTTGTTTATAATACTTAGGAGAGAGGAGCATAGAATGGGCAAAATTTGTGGAGAAAAGTAAATTCTTTTCATCAATCCGCCCCCGATAGATAGCTGTTTTTGGAGGACCAGATGGATGACCCAAGGTCATACCACCGCAACAACGGGGATGGGCCCGTGAGCGGGACTGACTGTACTTATTATCTTGATAGCTCCACAACCCTACGATACAGAGGCTCTGGGAGGCGTGGTTTGCACTACTGAGGAGCTACCCCCCCACGTTAAATACAAAACAAACAAACAAACAAACAAACAACTTCAAGCTGCCCCGTGACACGTGCGGAACATTGGTTCATGTTCCTTGATTTGTCTGTTGTCCTGTGTTTAGGTATCTTGTGCGGACGCATTTGCACCAAAATACTGGTGCAACGCGTCTATCTGCCGTGGTAACGAACCTCCGGGGCAACCGTTCAATCCCAACTCACACACCACCTTGGAACCACAGACCCTGAGCCACGACATCCAACAATATTCATGTATTTGGTGCTGGTCTTGAAGATTCTGATGTTGTAAAGTCTCTGTTGGTGGCTTGGTGGCCCCAAAATGCCCTGATGGCCCCTGATCAGTGCACTGCCACCTCCCTGACGCCAGTGTGGCTTGCGTGCCATTCAACAACAGCCCCTAATGTAAGATGATTTTCACACCTAACATCATACATCACAATGTCAGTCAGGCAATTGGAAGGATTTGCCTTTTTGCCATGAGTGAGATTCTATGGAGCGGCAGACAGACGGTGAACTCTGGGTCGACTTCTTGCTGAGTACCTAAGCTCATAATTCCAACTTGCGAGATCAGTTTCCCAGTGACTTCGTGTTCCCAACACAGAAGATTGAGATGATATCGATGTTATGGAATCAATTCAGGCTCTGCCACTTCCCAGCGATTACTACTCCTTTCCTAGTGATTACTGCCCCTTTCCCGGTGACAGAGTATGCATAGCACGTGCGGTACCGACTAAGACAACATCTCGACCAACTCCCCCAGGGCGTGTGGAACGCAAGTGAGAATTGCCGTTAGCGCTCGATGTCTCGCGCTGGTAGAACGGAAGAAAGACATTGCATGATAGTATCATTGAGCGGGCTCGCCACTTCTTTTTTGTTACTTATCAACTACTTCAATATGCTCCCCAGCCATGAGTGATCGACATGTATAACTCATGATTTGAATAGTCACCATCAGCTGTACTCTGGGATTAGTGTACCTAGCATAGAGAACGGGAAACCACCTCAGCTACGGAGAAGTTTATAATGGGATAATTTTATGACGAGTCTTCGCGACTAAGGTATATCCAGGTTTCCCATCCGTGACACCAGATTCCACTGAGAATCAGATTGAGCTACCGATGACTCCCGTCATATCCCGCCTAGGACGACCTTCGGCGAAATTCTCAGCCACCGAGTAGGTACCTAAGTACCGTGTATATAACACGGTCTGTGGACAGTATCGTCTGTTACCCAAAAACCACCATAAGTAGAGCATATAATGCCCCGCGAACTCCGCAAGAAAGCATCGCGCATGGTGGCCACACAGCCCTAGCACATATCTGCAAGGTCAGTCAGGCCAGGTAGTTTTGTGTGAGGTTCGTCAATCTTGGTGGTACTCACTATGTGGATTCATCTACCAACGCAATAAGATCATCTATGGTGACACTAGCGCAGTCCAGGGCCCGGTGGGCTTATGTGAGTCTGTCGATCGACACATCGGGCATGAGAATTCGTCTCCGAGAATATCCATGGCGCCGCTGGCTAATTGTAAATATCATCGTCATAGACGATCCTTGCTCGCTTTCTACGCAGCTCGCTGTCCGTCGCCGATTGATGGGTTGAGTTATCGGCCTCTTCTCTGCCATGGTCATTTCTGGAGAAACTTGCTTGGCAAAGTTACGCGAGGATGAATCATCTTCAGCCCTGGACCGTTTCTTGCTTCCAATGAAAGGACGTAGTACAGACTGTTCCGGCGGTCCATCTCCATGATCGGGCCGGTTCCTACCAGTACGTCGCAGATCAGCAAAATGTCCACTGATGTCCCGCTCCCTTGTCAGCTCCGTGTTGAGTTGTGACACTTGTGACAGTTCCTCTCTGAGTTTTTTTCAACTCTGTTAGGAGCGAATAGTTTCTCTTCCTCAGCTGACGATTCTCTGATCTGCATCTTTCAGAGGTGCGATCCCGACTTCTCTCTCTAGACACCGATGAGATCTGCATGTAGCTGTTTGGGTCTAGTCGTTCGTCACCTGTTCCCAAGTCTCTTTCGTCGTCCCACTCCGCGTTATCCATGCGTTTCATTAACGGCCGAGGTGCATGCGTGGTCGGCACATACTGGTCGTCCTCTTCCTCCAGCGAGCTAGGGCCATGCTTCGAAGTTCGTGGTCGACTCACACTGTGTGTCGCGTCGGTTTGGTTTCCGGAACGACTGTCGAAGGACCGGGAGATGTAAGGGTTGGCGATACTGTTGATCGGAGAGTTCTCTTTCAAGCGAAAGTCCACCGTGCTGGTTGTACTCTCGCAGGATGTTGCTCTCGGACGGCTGCCGAATGTCTCACCTGAGTGGTAGTATGCGTAAGGAGAGTTGTGCGACGCAGTTCCAGGCCAATCGAGGTGCTCTTCTGCTGACCTTGGGGGCTGCGTCGATAACTCTGCAGCAGTCTGTTCGCAATGTTCTAGACGATCGCTGAGTCTCAGATGATCACTAGTGATCGCAGGCTTTGCGTGGGTTACTCTCGGAAGACTGTCAATAACCTTCTGCTTGAGGTACTTCTGCGCCGTAGATAGGCGCTCATCCGGTTGAACGAGGCGAAAGTGGATTGCTGGCGTCTTCGCTAGCGGCCCATCTAACACATCCTCAAAGTCATATTCACATCCGTTGCTGTCTAGTTGCAAGCCTTTGGTCAACTTCTTCCCCAAGACGCCCGTGGCGTTCTTGCTAGCGCGGTAGCTATTGGTTCCCGCACACATGCTGACTCGTTGAGCCGATCTTATAAGACGGTTCGGTGGGGTGGGTATGGGGTTGAGGGTATGACTAATATCACATCAGAAGGATCGGCTGCCTGCTACAAGGTATATACGTACACGATAACGATGCGGCGTAGATGATGTGATTGCTCAATACTACCGAATGCCCAAGTAGTGGGCGAAAAACGGAAGTGGAGGTGGCGGCGCGGTAAAGCGTAGGCTTCAGTTCAGCGATAACGGCAATAGAGCAACGCTGATACACGCGTGCAAAGCCGGAGAGTGAAGGTGACCGTAGTGATGGTATTGAGCACGGCGCTTGACTATGCGAGTCTCGTATGTATAGGTTGACGATCAAGACTGACGATCGAGAAAAAAAGGAAAAAATCATCAACCGCTGATGAAGCATATGTGAGAGAAGATGAAGGAGGAAGAGGAAGAAGAATAAATCTGGGGGGGGGCCTGCCTTTAAATATAAGTTCGGGGGGAGCTTGGACTAGGTTCTGGTTGCTAAAGGGGCTGGCTGGAGGTGGGAGTGAGGGACGTGGAGACGAACAGACTTCGTGTTCCCAACCCAGCAGATTGAGACGCTATTGATGTTATGAAATCAATCTAAGTTCTGCCGTAACCTTGAACATATTGTCGATTTTTTGAGGCGGTGGCTTATGGCTGAATTCTGTCCGTCTTCTCCCTCAACCTTGACGCCAATATGGCACTAGCGAAACCTTCGTCTGCTCCGGCAACGTGTTAGTCTGGCACAACCACGCACTCGCAGGGCAACCTCCTCACACAAGCTTACACCAGAAACCACCTGGGCGACGGAAAAACTAGTTTTAGACGATCCCGTAACTGGGTATGTGAAATTGAGCTTTCTCTAGCTCTCCCAACCCACAAACCAATTTTCGTTGAATTTCAAAGTAACATGCCAGCACCTCCTATCCCAGAGATGAGAACGTTCGGCCAAGCCTTCCGCACTAGCTAGCTACTGTGAGTTTGACAGACCCAACAATATATCAACAGTAACGCCTGTTCCCCAAACCACCATCATATGGAAAGCAGAGGCGGCTCCATTTACCATACCTGAAGCACCCCAGGGTGTTGGTCATGCAACAGTAGCGGCCCACCTGCAAGGCCAGTCAGTACTCATAATCTAATATTGGATTCGTGAAGATACTTCCTGTATGCTGCCTTGCCCAGCGCACAAAAGAGGTTTGGTTTCATACGATGCGGACCACTTCTAGATCTCGTTGAATCCGGAGTACCCGTCGTATCGACGACTCTTCGGCGAGAGCTCTTCAATGACTTCATAATCATCTTCATCGTCAAGTCTTGCTCGCTTTCTCCGGATCTTGCTGGTTTATGCTGATGCACGAGCCAAGCCGTGTTCCCCTCCCAAGTCGTCATCAGGTGTGTACGAGAGCCTGGTGTTGGTTAAGCTGCTTGCGTAGCCATGGCCGTCTTGAGACGAACCCTTGGCTCGGCGAATCTGCAGGTGCAGTAGCTCTGTTCGGAGCTCAGCTACCTCGTTTCTGAGCTCAGAATTCTCTGCCTTCAGCGCAAGGTTCTCGACTTGGACCTCCTGTTGTGTATTTTCAACCAAGCGACGCTTTGCCTGGTAACGTGATGCAGGTGATGTCTGCGCTTCGCAAGTAGAGCCAGGAGTCGTCGTCTTGGACATGTCTCGAGCACCTGTACGGCAAATCTGAGCTGGCCAATCACTGTGCAGTCTGGAGTCGTCTTCCTTATCCGAATCCGCATAGTCCATGATTTCTGCGAGCAACTGCGATGTATACGGAGTCGGTGCATGCAGATATTTTCTCTTCGTTGCCAAGTAGAGAGTATGCATCGAAGTTCCAGTGGAATTCATGATGTCCGTGGCTGACATGGGAGGCGGACTTTCGTGTTCGTGAGGGTTGTCGAAGAAGAACAAGTGGGCATACGGTTTGGTGGTCGAATGCATCAGACTGCCAGCATCTTCATCCCCCGTACAGCGAGAGACGCCGCCTGAAGTTCCGGTTGTATGACTGCTCTAAGGTTCACCCGAGACATAGCCAGGGGCCTCGTATCGCGTGGAAAAGACCCGAGAGCTATATGTCGAACTCTTAGGCCTACGGCGACTTTCTTTTGTCGAGCTGGAACGTTCTACTGTGGCTTCGTCGATAGTATCGTAACGCTTGCTCGGACCATCGCGGGTTCGGGAGTGAAGACTTGCATCCGGGCGTGCGTCTGTGATTTTTGCAAAGAGGTGATCCATTGCTCGCTGCTTCAAGCTCTTTTGTTCAGCGGATAGTTGCTGACTTCCTGATTCATCGTCGCTTCCCATATTATCCCAGTTCTGACGTCTGGCCGGTTTCTTCGCTGAAACGCGCTTGGCATTGCGTCTCGCGCCTCGGTTACCAGCTGCCGCGGGCATTCTGACACTCGCATTGATGGTACTAGCGGTCTGTTGACAGAGCCGTACCATGCGAAGATGACTGGGATCGGGGTTAGATGCATTTTGCTGCGTGCAGTACAGCGTTTTACGTACATGAGAAGGACAAGACAGAAATGGTGGACCAGAAGCAGTACCCAGACGCGGAAGCGGACAAAGAAAAAGGCGTTGAGGCAATGTAGAGATTCGTTGACTGAGGCTGGTGACAATCGCGATACCACAATTTGGGACCGCTGGAAAATGAAAGTGATATTAGGTCGGGTGTCGCGAATGATGACGGAGAGAAGATTTCGGTCCAGGTATGGTGCAACGCTATACGCACGTACCCAACAAGCTGAAGATGAGGGTCGTGAAGAGACAGATGGAGGGAGCAGTGCTGAAGAGAAGAACCTCGCTGATACACGCGTGATTCTGATGCTGAAGAAAGCTCCCGTCTATGGACTGCCGGAGCTGGGCTAACAGTTGAATGGGAAACGCGCTGGAGGATCACGCACTCGAAATCTATGAGAGAAGAGAGAGAAGATGAAAGAGGAGAGAGGAGAGAGGAGAGAGGAAGAACGGCAATCTAGGGGGGAGACCAGCCCTTATAATTCCAGGGGGAGCTTGGACCAGGGTGTCGTTGCTAATGGGACTGGCTGGGGGTGGGTCATCCGATGACGTTGGAGTGAAAGGAGTCAGTGCTTCGGTCGGTGAAGCGGCGATGTTTCTGCCACCACACGCTTGAACGCGACTTTTACACGACTCGCGTTTGATCTTGGACCACCCAGGTGAGGTACAGCAGCATACTGCCGGCTGTAGACTGGGGTCCAGGTCCTGCTAATCGACAAAAGTACCAAGGCGTGGATCGCGAATACGAACGATTCTGGGCCGAGGGGCCAAGCGTGCAGGTTATGGACTTGACGGGCTAGGTAGAAGAGCATGGGGCCACTAGAATGAAAGCAGAGGAGTTGCAAGAGCTATTACTTCTAAAACAGCGATGATGATCCAGCTAGCCCCTGTGATCAACGGGGGCACCATAGGCCCGGTTTGATATGACGGCTCCAGTCAGCAGGCTGATCAGTGCAGTTGTTTGGTATCACAAACACAACCTTGCCATTCCTGTCCCGGGTGCAGCCTTCTGCTTCAGGTGAAAATCACTAACCGAGGTGGGGGAGTGGCAGCTGAGTGACGGGACACCATGCCGTTGCCTGGGCAGTGGGGGGAAACCAGAGGAGCGCATATAGCTACCAATACCAGACCAGTTCTCCATACAGTGGCCACTCAGTACGGAAACAGTCGTGATGGCTCAGTTGGTTGGTGGCATTCCACAGACAGATGATTCATTCACCCAGTTTTAGTCAACTTTTCAAACGCAGGACTCCTAGAGCTTCCAGCGTTTGTTGATGCATATGGCCTGGGATATGATGAACGGGGCAAGGTTAATGTTAAAAATTGAATCACCCTGGCTGGTCCATCACGCCCGTTTCCATTGTGCTATTTTTTTTCTTCGATCTTTTATTTCATGGTGTTGCGAAGGTTTTTCTCCTGTCTACCGCCGTAGCCGGCTCGAACTCGCTGCTCCTTGTTGTTGCCTAGGTAGGTAGGCCCTTACTACATTTTTTTGCTAGTACTGATCCAGATTTTCCACCGACTGCTTGATGCATCATTTGATCGATCCCCCTTTCCATGCAGCCATGGTGTTTTCAGGGCCCAATGCATGTTGTTCTTCTACGCGATGCACGGCTTGCTTCCAGGCTTCCAGGCTTCCAGGGCAGAGAATAAGGCGAAAGGCACGAATCACATGTACGTATGTATGGATGCATGGTCTACAGAATGCGCGTCTCGGTGCACTAAACTCGGCTCTTGGTTTTTGTCTATTCATCATGTATGATATCTATGGTAATCACAGCTACTTAATGCAATGCCTCATCCTCCGACTCCTCAACAGGTTTCCTGTGGAAGGCTGGGAATGTCCGGGTCGCCTGCGGAGTATGGTCGTACATATCACCATCAATAAGACGCGGTCTCGTACCTCGACTTCCTCCGCACATTATTTCCGAACTTGAACAACAGCCACGGCAGCGGCAGGAGAGCCAGCGAGACAAACCCGAGAAGGGTCGAAGCCCAAGCTATCCCAAGCCCTTGATACACTGCAACATTCCGTCAGATTCCGCTCAGGGTACGTACGGTGTTACGGTGACTCGCAAAGGGGACTTACTCTGGAGTGAGAATAGTGGGAACACGGCGGCCAGGACGTAGCGGGCGAAGCTGTTGGCACTGGCCGCACTCGCCACGTTGGTGCGGTGATACACGTCGCCTATGTACTGGAGACTGCTGATGAAGAGGTTGATATTGCCCATGCCGAATATGGCTATGGCGACGATGGGCACGGCGGGATTGACGTCAGCCCGGGTGGTCCAGGCGAACCAGAAGAGGCTGATCGGTAGTAGGACGCTTCCGATCATGGCTGGGCCCAGCCGGTACTCGGGTGGGACCTGATGCGGCGGGAAGCGGCGAACCTGTGGTCGGTAAAGGAGCTTGTTGCAGAGGTTGATGATGCCTGCGCCAACAATGCAGCCGAACGCGATAGCTAGGAATACTAGACCAGACTGTACGAGTGTAAAGTCGTATACCGTCTTGAAGATCCAAAAGAAGACGCCGAAGAAGGAGAACAGTATGCCGAACATGCATGCGACGTACAGACACAGGAAGCCAACGATCGGTTCTGTGAACATCATATGCAGCGGTCTGATGACTCCAGTCGTGGCGAACGTCCTCAATGTAGTTGACAGTGGGATCTTCTTTGGTGGATCCAAGCCGAGTTGTTTCATCCGACGGCGTTGGATGACGGGGTGGTAGGTTTCGCTCGCGGCGAGCACCCATATCAAGCTGAAAACCGAGAAGAAGACCAGCGTGTATTGTGTCCATCGCCATCCCATTCGGTCGACGAGGAACACACCGAGCACGGGACTGCAGAGACTTTGTATCAGCTGTTGGTCTTATGCAAGTCCATGTTACAACGAGATACATACCCAAAGCCCGGCCCCAGAAAGGGGCTGAGGATATACAGACTCGATGGCGGTCCTCGCTCGGCCGGCGTATAGGTCTCAGCAAGCACACCAGTGCCGATCGCCAGGCCAGGGCCGTAGAAGAAGCCAGCGAGAAAGCGCATGATGCACAACCCCGCAAATGTCGGCGACAGGCCTGATCCCAGGGCAAAGAGACCCCCGAGGAACACTGCCATAAGCCATACCGCCTGCCGACCAGCAGTCTCGGAAAGGGGCCCACCGCAAACCGGGCCCAAGCCCAATGCAAGCACATAAAACGTCAGAGGCAGGAATGCCACAGTGCTCGAGACACCAAATTCGTCAATCAGTTCTTGATGAGCGGGACTGATGATGGACGTGCCCAGGGAGCTGTTCTTGTAATCAGTCCAGGGAATCCCAGAGGGAAAGGCAGCGGAAGAGCAGAGACCACATACCCCGTAAAGGCGACAAAGGCAATCGAGGCCAATTGCACATTTTTCTTCCATTTTGGCCAATTGTAGGGATTGCACTCATCGTCCGCCCAGCTCCATTCTATCGGTTCGAGTAGTGCCTCAGGCTTGACGGCAGAGCTGCCACTTGCCCGCTCAGCGGCGTCCACAGACCTTACGGTTGACTCTTGCGACATACAGTCAGCGTTTGCGCAGCACAGACGTTTTGTGCAGATACCGATGAATATGCGGTCGAGTAGTCGTAAGCGCTGACCTCCCGCTAAAGAGTTAATGATAGAAAAATGATAGAAGGGAGATGGATAGGGGTGGTTTAAGTATAGGTGCCTGTCACCGAGGTACGGCTCTGATTATTGATCAATTCCCCAAACCGAGTCTTACTGGACCACGCTAAGGTATATCAGATGAACGCCATCGTTGTTTCTTCTCATCCCAAGGGCGCACATACGTCAAGAGCTTCTCCGGACCAGCCTTGCCTTCATTGGACGGCGGGAATAATGTTCAGTCGGCGCAGGGTGTCGTTCTTGCGATCCTCGGCATCCTTCTGGCCCATGAGGAGTGACGCAGCGCTGTGATGAGGTTTGAGATTACTGATCAAGCATAACCGCCAGTTGGTGTTATTGCCCATATGGTATTCGCTTTATCGATCAGACAGACTTGTAGACATAATCGAAGGGTCCGAGAACGGTATGTGAACTCCTTGGTAAAGCGTGCGGGTTTCGAGCTTGAAGACCGGAATCGTGACATGGTAAAGACACATGAGGCGCAGGCAGTGAGAGATGTGGCGCAGGCGTCATCCAGCTCCCGGTGTCCACCTGCTTAGTCATTCACCATCTCGAAATCTCGACGTTCGATCAAGTCTGACGACAACAAATGCTCTGCCACCAAGCATTCCAGCAACTGGAATCGCCATGACCGAGTCCACACCAGCACAGTCCCTGCTCAACATCAATGCTCTGCTGGACAACCCCGTCTTCGCCGGCGGCTTCGGCCTCGCCTCCCTCGGCGCCGCCCTGGCCTTTGCGCGACGGGGCGCGCTCACTACCGCGGGCATGATCCGGCGCCGCATGCTCGTCAACGTTGAGATCAGCCAGCAGGACCCGGCCTACCCGTGGATCCTCGCATGGCTCTCGGAACCGCGCCCGCAGACCTCGTTCCTCGCGAAGCGCCTCACCCGCATCAACAAGCTCTCCGTCTCGACCGCCACCAGCAGCACCCCGAACGGCGCCACCAAGGCCAGCTTCTTCCTGCAGCCCGGCTACGGCCGCCATATCGTCAAGTACAAACATGCCTATATCGCCGTCAGTAGGGAGAAGCAGTCGACTGCCAAGACGAATACGGGCGAGCCCCACGAGACGGTTGAGCTCACGACGCTGTACGCGCACAGACATATCTTCGAGGACATATTCACCGAGGCGCGGGGTCTGGCGCTGCAGGCGAACGAGGGCAAGACGGTTGTATACTCTGTACGCAACTTTGATTGGGTACCTTTAGGTGAGCCACGGAGGAAGCGGCCTTTGGGCAGCGTCATTCTCGACGAGGGCGTGAAGGAAGGCATCGTGAATGATGCCAGAGACTTCCTCGAACGTCGGCAGTGGTATGTCGATCGTGGGATACCATATCGCCGGGGCTATCTGCTTTACGGACCTCCTGGTAGCGGTAAGACCTCCTTCATTCAAGCTCTAGCTGGCGAGCTTGACTTCAGTGTGGCCATGATCAACCTGAGCGAGGTCGGAGTGACGGACGACAAGCTCGCTTTTCTCCTTACGAAACTTCCTGAACGGACGATTGTGCTGCTAGAGGATGCTGATTCCGCATTCGTGAATCGGAGGAAACGCGATGCAGATGGATACGGCGGGGCCACCGTCACATTCTCCGGCTTGTTGAATGCCCTGGATGGCCTCTCAGCTAGTGAAGAGAGGATTGCATTCCTGACCACCAACCACGTCGAACTCCTAGACCCCGCCTTGATAAGGCCTGGACGAGTAGACATGACGGTCCGCATCGGGGAAGCCACCAGATATCAGGCGGCTCAGATGTGGGACAGGTTCTACGGAGACATAGACACCGACGGGTCCAACAGGGAACGGTTCTTGGCCCGACTCGACGGGCTAGGACTGTTCGTCGACTTAAATGAAGGCGAAGCGCTGCCTCGAACCAGCACTGCCGCCATCCAGGGACTGTTCTTGTTTAACAAGAACGACATGGAGGGAGCCATCGCTATGGCCGAGGGACTGATTCCGCCCAAGTTGGAAGCGGAGAAGTAGATGATGACCATGTATATCACTTGTAACAACTGTCTGTATCATACACTAGATACCCATCGCATATATCAGGTCCGCGGAGGAAAGCTCGAAAATCCTCTGGTTGAGTTCTGTCTCATCGCTACAACTGGTCTCTCGCTGCGTCGACGACACAAGTTACTCACCTACGAATGCACTCGATCGACGCGCACGTGTGAGATATTATTGTCCAGATTTACCCAGGGTGGTGGCGATCAATGCGAACACATGGTGTCGGCGGTTGTCCAACACAGCGTCATAAAAACCTAGGCGGCCAAAGTGGCTCCAGCTCGAGGTGTATGGCCAGCCCCTGTGCTCAATGACTAGCACATAGCGAACTCTACGAAACCTTGGTAAGATGGCTGGCCGTCCGGCCCTTTACAGCTCATTCAGTCACTCGCTTGGGTGGGGTTCTTTGACCAGCTCGTTGCTTGAACGCTGGCTATACAGAAGTCAGGCCTAGTTCTGCAGCATACCCTCGGAGAAGAGATAGAGGTGTTCGTGATGCTGAACCTGTTGGAAGTTGCGAGAGTGTGCGCTCCGCATCCCAGGACGTTCTGGGGGCTTTGGTTGTTCTAACCGAAGACGCAGGCGCCCACTGAATTTGCGCTGTGTTCGCGTCGGTGTTAGTAAGAGGGTGCCACCTGGAACGATGGCGGTGTTCAAAATCTCCTCTGACAGCAGATTGATGCTCTAGTTACTCGTCACCAGTTATTGAAGGCGACATCCTGAAAATTTCCCCGGAAGTCTCTACCAGAGAGGCGCCTGTCAAACAATACATAGATGGTTCATATGGTGTAAAACGTTGTATTCTGATGAAATCTGGTGATCTTCTGGTAGTTGTTGTGAAGGTAAAGGATCTGCTAGTGTGCTACAGCACACCGAAATGCCTTAAAGGCCTTATTGTTACACTGCCACCCCCTTGAACGCCACTATGGCTGCCACGCTATCTAACACACCCCCTTTAAATGCTATAAGGTCATTTAAACCATCTAATGAGGTTTATTTAAGGCGAAATTCGAAGTTTCCGTATATAACGAAGTATTTTAATCGCGTAAATAATATACTTGTGCCTTTTAAGTCACTAACTTTTTTAAAAGCCGCTCGTTATACTTCTCTTAGTTTGAAAAAAGAAAGATATCGACTATTTAAAGGTAATTTAAAAGTCTTAGAACTTTCTTTTTAATAAAGCTTTTATAAGACTATTTGCTGTTATTTTATTCGTTTTGATTTACAATACCTAGATAATTCCTTTCTAAACTTCCTGTTTTGACTAATAAGCCTAAGTAATAAAGTAATAAAGCTTCGTTTAAAGCCTAACAGCTTTTTAAACTATTAAACGAATAGTTTATTTATCATTATACTCAAAATTTAAAGCTTTTATTAGCTTAAAAATGCTTTAAATACCTTATTTAAAAATAGCCTATGTTACTAGTTGTATAATAATTAGGAGCTTACATTTAATGCTCGATAAAGTAATAAAGGCAATATTTAACCTTGTTGTTGGAACAGGCTTGAACAATCAATCATAATACTCGAGTATGGGGTCAAGGTCATGATGTTGCTGATGGTTGGATTGGGAGGTCTAGCTGGACCTGAAGGTCTGGCTAAGTAACCTCGCAATCCGGTATCTATCTCTTATCTAATCATACATGTGGGTCTTGGTATGGATGGTTTGCAGGCTGGAATTGCATAGATCCAACACTTGTAAAAATAGTAGCGAAAATAATCGATTCGATCTTCTTTTAATATATTTGAAGGTTTTATTGTAAAGCTTAAATATCGTTTAATAAAAATTCTTTTTAGTTGTCAGGACTTTAGAAGCTTAAATTTACGTTAATACCTTAACATTATTGGCAAGCTTTTTAATATATACTTTTTAAAATAATTAAATAGTCTTTTCGCCTTCGTCTTTAATAATGTGCGTTTTTAAAAAAAACCTTTTAAGTCTTTAATTATCTTTATTTTAAAGTTTTTATAAAAGGTTATAATAACGGTAATGGCGTTTTAATCGTTTTTAAGATATAAAATAGTAATATTATTTCCGTAAGAAAGGACGATAATATTGTTTTAAATAATTATATACGGCTTTTGAAGCACTTTGTAAAAACTTACATTATGAAAAGCTTCAATAAGCTTAATTTATTAAAGCAGTAGTAACTTTTTAAAATCGTATAATCATTTATGTACCCTAGGAATATAATGCGATTTTTAAACTTAAAAGGCTTTTATATATATATAAGCTCAATAAAGTCGCAATATATAAACGCATTAATAAGATTCATTTATTAAGTTTTTAAATTACATCTTGATACGGTAATAAATAATATACGTAATAAAGTACAAGCTAAGGTTTTTAATTTTATAGGTGGATTTTAAATGCCCATTAACTATTATATATAACAAAACACACTTTATACTTCTTAAAACACCATGCTTTTTCGTTTTATATATAAATACTTATATATAACTTAAATATTAATAGCTTTTAGTGGTAAACATAGCTAGTTTAAGTTACAAATTTATTTTTTAATGCTTTTTAAATGATGTTTTTAAACATGAACCAAAAAAATTTCTAAGGTGATCCTTTAGTTTTCGGTAGTTTTTAAGCGTCGAAATAAAGTCCTTGTTGGATCCATGCGATTCCAGACTGCAAACCATCTATACCAGGACCCACATGTATGATTAGATAAGATAAGATAGTGGATTGAGAGGGCACTTGGCCAGACCTTCGAGTCCAGCTAGATTCCTCTCAATCCAACCATCAGCAACATCATGACCTTGACCCCATACTCGAGTATTATGATTGATCGTTCAACCCTGTTCCAACATAATCGTTGATTTTTATTCCCTGGAATTTTTTTTCCCGCCAGTTTTATTGCTTTTAAAAAAGACCTCTTTTTAGTAGCCGTTAAAACAAATTAATAAACGTTTTAATAAAAGTCTGTAAAAGTTCAAACTCGTAGAAATAATAATAGAAAATCGAAATTGTTAATTTTTAAGTTAATCAACAGCCAAAAAAGAAAAAGAAACGCTAACAAGATTATCGTATTATAAATACTAGTCTTTCAAGCCGTTAAAAATGATTTTTTTCTTATAATTCGGTAAATATCTTATCAATTTAATACGCTTATTTCTATATTTATTAACGTAAGGTACGGTTAGATCTAACGAAAAGTCCGTTAATTGAATTGAAACTAATTGCAAAATATTCGTTAGTTAAAAAAATACTTGCTATTCTAGGCTTATAACTATTAAATATTCCGTAAATACTTTATATTGTATAAAATCTGGTGATTTTCTAGTAGTTGTTGTAAAGGTGAAAGATCTGCTAGTATGCTATAGGCATACCGAAATGCCCTGAGGGCCCTGTTGTTGCACTGCCACCCCCCTGAACGCCACTATGGCTGCCACGCCATCTTACAGCGCCGTATTTCGAAGGGGCACAAACCTAGCCACCCCAATACATCGTCGGACGGTCGACTGACAATACAGTACTCCCACATCGTCGGGACTGGTGTTGGGCATATATGTTAGTACCTTGACGGACACAGGAAAGCATCTTGTGCCTTGCAATCCGACATACCAACCAGTGCACCACGCTCGGCTATATGAATGTCATAGTTGGCTGGCCTGTGGACATTCTGCTCCTTTCAGGTATAGCCTCAAAATTCGATTCACAGCAGCAAAGTGTCCCATTGTGGGTTCGGTCTACTAGCCTCCTTCAACCTAGGGACTGCCCATGATCCGCAAAGCGCTCATTACTTACCATACGCGTGCTTCGCCCAAGCACTATCATTTTTCTACTTCACGCCATGGGCGTCTATTTCCACGGGGCGCTCAAAGCTATCCATCTCCACCGGAATCTCTCTACCTTCCAGCTCCCCAGAACGGCATTGTTGCGGCCAGATTTCCGGCAGTGCTTGCCCATCTGCCTCATGCCTCAGGTGTGTCGCAAAGCGCGCCGGATCGGCGGATAGCTCGGGCTTATAGACCCCAAAGACTGTGCTCGAATCGGCTGAACGAAGGGTTGCTACTCCTTTCCTATTCTGGCGCTTCTTCCATAGTAGGAATGCGCAAGCGAGTAGCAGCAAGCTGCACACTCCTACACCAACCCCTATCCCCGCCTTAACACTATTCGCTAGTCCCCCATTGCTTCCTATTGAAGAGGTAGACTTCAGTAGTTTGAACCCGGCCGCCGCGGTATAGTTGCTTTCGATACTCCTCCAGTCCGCAATGGTGGGCGAGGCAAGCGTCTGGTTCAGCACTGCGGACGGCTGGTTCGGAGCCTCCGTGGCGGAAGGGATGGGGGCGCCGTTGCCGTTGAACGAGACCACCTGCGAGTCATCCAGCGACCTGTCTGGTCTGACCGCCGCCATCGCGACCTTCTTGTTGTGCATGTCGACAACGGTGTAGGCCGAGCGGAAGAAGGCCTCGGCAAGCACCGCCGGCACCGAGCTGTTCCCTTTGGCAATAGCGAAGACGCATTGCGGCTCGCCGTCTTCCGTGGTGGGAAAGAGCTTCGGGTCGAAAACATCGGGCAGAAACACCACTTCGCTCATGGTTATGTTGATACTCACACCATCGGGTCCGCCGAACCCAAACACAAAGTAGCCTTGGCTTTCGCGGAGGGAGCAAGGCACTAAAGGCCTGCCGTTCGGGGATAGTGTCGCGTTGAATAAATTATTAGGGGTTATTGCTATGTTTAGTGCAATTTTAGTTATAATGTTATTACCTATTACAGATTTAGGTAGATCTAAAGGTTTACAGTTTAGACCTTTAAGTAAGATAGCTTTTTATATATTTGTGGCTAATTTCTTAGTATTAATGAGCTTAGGAGCTAAACACGTTGAATCACCATTTATAGAATTTGGGCAAATAAGTACAGTTCTATATTTTGGACATTTTGCTTTAATAGTTCCAGCTATAAGTTTACTAGAAAATACTTTAGTAGACTTAAGTTTAAGTAAGACAAGTAAGTAGTATATAATTAGTTCTTGTTACACAAAATATATTATGTATTATACATAATATAGAAGATTATGATGTAGTTGGTCTATACTTTGATTGCAAATCTTAAGTCTGAGGTTCAATTCCTCCATAATCTTGTTAAATATTAGAGTAATTATCTAGCTTCTTTTTATCAGAAAATTAAAAATAAATTATAATATAATAAATCTACATTTATTATATCTAAGGAATGCTCATGCTTGTGTATATCGTTCAAGATCAAGGGGATAGGCACATGCATAGTCATAATGTGACAAATAACGATTTTGTTTCTGATGAACAAAATTTAAAATCTTCTATAAGTATTTGATTTGAACGGTGATTCTTATCAACAAATGCTAAAGATATAGGAACATTATATTTAATGTTTGCACTACTTCAGGGTTATTAGGAACAGCTTCTTCTGTTCTTATAAGAATGGAGCTTAGTGGTCCTGGTGTACAATATATTGCGGATAATCAATTATATAATAGTATCATAACAGCTCATGCTATATTAATGATATTTTTTATGGTTATGCCTGCCTTAATTGGGGGTTTCGGTAATTTTTTATTACCATTATTAGTAGGTGGGCCTGATATGGCATTCCCTAGACTTAATAATATAAGTTATTGATTATTAATACCTAGTTTACTATTATTAGTATTTTCTGCTGTAATAGAAGGTGGAGCAGGTACAGGATGAACTATATACCCTCCTTTATCAGGGGTACAAAGTCATAGTGGGCCTAGTGTAGATTTAGCTATATTTGCTTTACATCTATCAGGGGTTAGTAGTTTATTAGGGGCTATTAATTTCATAACTACAATAGTTAATATGAGAACTCCTGGTATTAGATTACACAAACTAGCTTTATTTGGATGAGCTGTAGTTATTACAGCTGTATTATTATTATTATCTTTACCAGTGTTAGCCGGTGGAATAACAATGGTATTAACAGATCGTAATTTTAATACATCATTCTTTGAAACAGCTGGGGGGGGTGACCCTATTTTATTCCAGCATCTTTTCTGATTCTTTGGTCATCCTGAGGTTTATATATTAATTGTCCCAGCTTTTGGTATAATAAGTACAACTATTTCTGCTAATTCAAATAAATCAATATTTGGATATATTGGAATGGTTTATGCTATGATGTCTATTGGAATATTAGGATTTATTGTTTGAAGTCATCACATGTACACAGTCGGTTTAGACGTAGATACAAGAGCTTATTTCACTGCCGCTACATTAATTATAGCTGTACCTACAGGAATTAAAATATTCTCTTGATTAGCAACATGTTATGGAGGAACTATCAAATTAACACCTTCTATGTTATTTGCATTAGGTTTTGTATTCATGTTTACAATTGGAGGATTATCTGGTGTGGTTTTAGCTAATGCTTCACTTGATATAGCATTCCATGATACTTACTACGTAGTTGCTCATTTCCATTATGTTTTAAGTATGGGAGCTGTATTCGCTATGTTCTCAGGATGATACTTCTGAGTTCCTAAAATATTAGGTTTAAATTATAACATGCTATTATCTAAAGTTCAATTCTGAATTTTATTTATAGGTGTTAATTTAACATTCTTTCCTCAACATTTCTTAGGATTACAAGGAATGCCAAGAAGAATAAGTGACTATCCTGATGCTTTTGCAGGGTGAAATTTAATTAGTAGTTTTGGGTCTATTATAAGTGTTGTAGCTGCTTGATTATTCTTGTATATAGTATATGCACAATTAGTTGAAGGAAAATCTGCTAGTAGATATCCTTGAATGACTCCACAATTTTATACAGATACTTTACAAGCTTTATTGAATAGAAGTTACCCTAGTTTAGAATGAGCTTTAAGTAGTCCACCTAAACCTCACGCTTTTGTAAGTTTACCTTTACAAAGTAGTAATTTATAGGGTTTTATAGCTAGATTATTCTAATGTTACCCTGATTTGAGTATAAACCGTTGTTTTAGTTAAAAAAAAAAATTCTTAATAAAGTTACTTTTAACTTTATTAAAATTTTATATATAGATATTTATAAATATACTATATATTCTCATTAGCTCAAAGGTAGAGCAGGATACTTCTAATATCCTGATTTTAGTTCGAATCTAAAATGAGAATTCGGATAATAAGTAATTAACTTAAATTTTAATTACTTTTCATTTATATTTAATATATTCTTTATATTATTTATGTAGAATATATTAATCTAATTAATAAGAAAAAATGTTCTATTTACCTCCAACTCTTATATCAATTATTGAAGTTCTTTTAGTTATAGTTCCAGCATTGCTTAGTGTAGCTTATGTTACGGTTGCAGAAAGAAAAACTATGGCAAGTATGCAAAGAAGATTAGGTCCTAATGCTGTAGGATATTACGGATTATTACAAGCATTTGCAGATGCTTTAAACTTCTTTTAAAAGAATATGTAGCACCTACACAGGCTAATATAATATTTTTTTTTTTAGGTCCAGTGATAACTTTAATTTTTGCATTATTAGGATACGGAGTTATTCCTTATGGACCCGGTTTAGCCATTAGTGATTTTAATTTAGGAATATTGTATTTGTTAGCTGTTTCATCTTTAGCTACATATGGTATATTGTTAGCTGGTTGAAGTGCTAATAGTAAATATGTTTTTTTAGGTTCTCTTAGAAGTACTGCTCAATTAATTAGTTATGAATTAATTTTAAGTTCTGCTTTATTACTAGTAATTATGCTTACCGGTAGTTTAAATTTAACTGTAAATGTAGAATCACAAAGAGCTGTTTGATTTGTATTACCTTTATTACCTATATTTATAATATTTTTTATAGGATCTATAGCAGAAACTAATAGACCTCCTTTTGATTTAGCTGAGGCTATTAACTAATAGATTTGGCCTCATTAAAGATCACAAATTGCTGGAAATTCCAACTATTAAATAGCATAGGACAATCAGCAGGGAATTTAACTTATATTTTGTTAAAACTTTCAGAGACTAAATGTGATCATTTAATATAAATAAATTATATTAAATAAGATATAGTCCAATCTTGTATGAAAATACAAGTAATAATTATTTAAATAATATTTAAATATAATACAAGTAAATTACTCCCTATATGTAAAATATAGCCATCGTATGACTATACAAAAAATTTGTGTAGTAGGCCGTAGATATTTTTATACTTCAACCTTAAAATCTTAATTACCTCCACCTATAATAATTTCAACTGTTCAAAATTGAGATAAAAAAGATTTTAGCCTATCTTTTAGAAATATGTTAAAAAATAAAGCAGGTATTTATTACTGTAAATACTGATCAATATATTGGAAGTCCTAAAGATTTTTATTTAAGACTTAATGAGCATATAAAAAATAAGAAGTCTAATCACCTAAATAAAAAAAAAGACCTTTTTTTTTATAAAGGAGGACGACGCACTACAAAAAGCATTTAATAAATATGGCTTAGATAAATTTAATTTTTGACCGCGGAGCGACGTATATGTATATTTTACATTTGAGAATAAAATTATGTGTTCTAAACATCTCATTGACCTAGAAACCTGTTATATAGCAAAATTTAGTTTTTATACTCTTTATAATTTTAAGATTGTGCTACAAGTATATTAGGGTATAAACATACTAAATAAACTATATTAAAAAGGGTGAAGCATTATGAGATTAAATAGAATCATCCTATGCAGGGTAAAACTCATACTAAGGAAGCACTTGCTCTAATAGGTAAGCCAGGAAAGTTAAACCTGATATTAGTAAAAACCAAAGGGAATTAAGTAAAAGTAATTTAAGTGAAAAGAAAAATAAAGGCTATTCAGGTGTAGGTATTTAAGATTTATAGGGTAATTTTAATTTAAAGTTTAAAATTAACCTAGAGTTAGCTAAACATTTAACTATCTCTATAGTTACAGTAGGTAAGTATTTAAATAATGGTCTTGTATATAATAAAATTTAGAGGTTTAAACCTATACAAGATTAATGTGTTAGATTTTAGAGGAATCAGAATTAGTTAGTGGATTTATGACAGAACACGCTGCAGTTGTTTTTGTGTTCTTTTTTTTAGCTGAATATGGTAGTATTGTGTTAATGTGTATATTAACAAGTTTATTATTTTTAGGTGGTTATCTAATATTAGATATTGTTTATTTATTAACTTATTTAGATTTCATTATTTGAGAAATATTTATTATAGATTGAGTTCTTATTTTAGATTATTTTGTAGAGGATATAATGAATACACCTGCTTTAGAGGGATTAATATATGGTTTCAGTTTAGGATTAAAAAGTTCTATGATGATATTTACTTTTATTTGAGCTAGAGCTTCTTTCCCTAGAATACGTTTTGATCAATTAATGTCCTTTTGTTGAACAGTTTTATTACCAATAGTGTTTGCTTTTATCATATTAGTACCTTGTATTTTATATAGTTTTGATATATTCCCTATTAATATAAATTTATTTTAAATCTTATTTTTTAAGATCTTATGAAAAATTAATATGTCCTTCGGACCGAAGGGTAAAAAAATTTTATTTTTTTATATAATATAATCGTGTAATTGTTTACTTATGATGTAATTTTAATTTAATTATGTGGGAAGTTTTATTTTAATTTAAATAATAAATGTAGTTGTCATCTTTATTATTAATACCTATAGTAGGGATATTTTTAATCTCTAGTAATATGTCTTATGAAGATACAGAAATAAAAATAAGATCCTATAAAACAACAGCTTTTGTAGCATCTATTATAAATTTAGTTATATCTTTAGTAATATTTATATTATTTGATTTTAGCAGTAATCAATTTCAGTTTGTACAAGAACATTATGATATGAACTTATTTGATGTTTATTTAGGGGTAGATGGAATATCCATATATTTTATATTGTTAACTACAATAATAATGCCTATAGCAATATTATCTAACTGAAATTCAATAACTGAAAATGTTAAATCTTATTTAATAATTATGTTATTACTAGAAACATTATTGTTAGCAGTTTTTTTAGTATTAGACATTTTATTATTCTATATATTTTTTGAAAGTATACTACCCCCTTTATTTTTATTGATAGGTTTATTTGGATCTAGTAATAAAGTAAGAGCTAGTTTTTATTTATTCTTATATACATTATTAGGTTCTTTGTTTTTATTATTATCTATTTTAACTATGTCTTCTATAATGGGAACTACTGATTTTGATGCTTTATTTAAAACAAATTTTGATTATACTACACAAGTATTCTTATTCTGTGGCATATTTATAGCATTTGCATTAAAAACTCCTACTATATTTTTAAATAACTGATTATTAAAAGCTCATGTAGAATCCCCTTTAGGTGGAAGTATTATCTTAGCGGGTATTGTTTTAAAATTAAGTTTATATGGTATATTTAGATTAATTTTACCTATATTACCTAAAGCATCTTTAGATTATACATTTATAGTATTTGTAATAGGTGTAATAACAATAATATATACTAGTTTTAGTACATTAAGAACTACAGATATTAAAGAGTTAATAGCTTATAGTTCAGTATCTCATGCTGCTGTTTACTTGATAGGAGTATTTAGTAATACAATACAGGGAATAGAAGGAGGAATACTTCTAGGTTTAGCTCATGGATTTGTATCTAGTGGTTTATTTATATGTGCAGGGGGTGTATTATATGATAGATCTGGAACTAGATTAATACATTATCATAAAGGTATAACTCAAATGATGCCTTTATTTTCTATATTATTTTTTATTTTATCTTTAGGTAACTGTGGAGCTCCTTTAACTTTAAATTTTGTAGGTGAATTTATGTCTCTTTATGGAGTATTTGAAAGATTACCTGTTCTAGGTGTATTTGCTAGTTCTTCTATAGTATTTTCTGCTGCTTATGCTATATATATGTTTAACCGTATAGCATTTGGTGGATCATTTACTAGATTCTTTGAAGAAAATATAAGTGATCTTACTAAAAGAGAATTCTTTTTATTATTTACATTAGTAGCCTTTACTGTTATTCTTGGTATATATCCTTCTATTATTTTAGATGGACTACACTATTCAGCCACAAATTTAATATATAAATATAATTTATTGGTTTAGTATTATTTAATAATACGGTGGTTATAGTTTACTCTGAAAATAAAAAAGAAATATAGTTGTTTCCTTAATTAAAATATTTTCGTTTTATAATAAACGCTAATACTTATTAAATACTATTTAATAACACGATTATTATTAATATGCCTCAATTAACACCATTTTATTTTGTAAATGAAGTAACTTTTGCTTTTGTTATAATTATAATAACAATATATATGTTATCTAAATACATATTACCTAGATTTGTTCGTTTATTTTTAGCTCGTACTTTTATATCTAAATTATTTAATTAATATTTATACTACATGAAGTAGTAGATTTTTAAAATATTATATTAAATATAAATTAATTTTATCAAGATTTACATTTCAATTTTTAATACTAAAGTTAAATTAAGAAAGTAATCTAGTAATATCTATTACCAGATTAGTTTTAAACTTTGAGTTTTAATTAACTATTGAATACAGTTATGATAGTTTTACAATGGAAAAAATAACCAACTTTTTTAATTTTAATAGAGAAATAATTAGCCCTTTAAATCAATTTGAAATAAGAGATTTATTAAGTATTGATGCACCTATATTAGGAAATTTACATATATCAGTAACTAATATAGGATTATACTTAATGCTAGGTGCTTTTTTTATATTAACTCTTAACCTTTTAAGTACAAATTATAATAAATTAGTAGGTAATAATTGATCAATAAGTCAAGAATCTTTATATGCAACTATTCATAGTATAGTAACAAATCAAATAAACCCTAGAAATGGACAAATATACTTTCCATTTATATATGCTTTATTTATATTTATATTAATTAATAACTTAATTGGAATGGTTCCTTACACTTTTGCTTCTACAAGTCATTTTGTATTAACATTTGCATTAAGTTTTACTATAGTTTTGGGTGCAACAATATTAGGATTCCAAAAACACGGTCTAGTATTTTTCTCTCTTTTAGTGCCTGCTGGTTGTCCTTTAGCTTTATTACCTTTATTAGTTTTAATTGAGTTTATTTCTTTAGGTTTGAGATTAGCAGCTAACATATTATCAGGTCACATGTTGCTTAATATATTAGCAGGTTTCACATACAATATAATGACAAGTGGAATAATATTCTTTTTCTTAGGTTTAATACCCTTGTCTTTTATTATAGCATTTTCAGGTCTGGAGTTAGGTATAGCCTTCATTCAAGCTCAAGTTTTTATGGTTTTATCTTCAGGTTATATAAAGGATGGTTTGGATCTTCATTAAAGCCTTTACATTTACTAAGCAACCACTAGTAAGCGATTTAGTTAATTTTATGCATAGATATATTTTATAATTAGTTTTTTTATTAAAATGTTGATCTTAACTTTAAAGATTTTTAAATTGAAGTTTGTTTAAAGGGGAGGTGTACTAATTCTATTCTTATCGATAAAGGCCAATTGAATAGAGGTGAAGTGGCAGTGGTAATAGTCTTAATTTAAAATATTAATTTTCTATTAATATAGAAGTTTATATCTTATAAACTATTTTATGCTAATACGGTTTGTATATAATAATAAATTGAATTTAAACCAATTTAAGATAAGTTATAGTAAACAACATATTAGTGTATAAAATTACTTTGAGTGTAGAATTTAGGTTTTAAATAGAAAAGAGATTAAATTAGTCAATAGTATATAATATTTAAATATGTATAATATATTTAGAATAATCAATTAAAACCTAATATAATAAATATTAGATCCTCTTTAGTAGAATATCGGAGAAGATATTTATAGTAAAGCCGATAATAAGATATAATGTAAAATTACTAATTTAAAATAGATATAGATATCTAAAATTCTAATTAATAAATTTAAAAGGTTTAGGTTATTCAGGTTTATTTAATTTGTAATAGTATAAAAGATTCAGGTGTTTATATGTAAAGTTTAATATAGCAGAATTTATATGAATACACCAAAAGTTAACTTTTGCTAATTATAATTATATAAAACAAATGTAATACGAATTATAGTTAATTATGATGAATTAATAAAATAAAAAATATAATGCAAAAGCTAAAAATAATAAGTATATACAATATTTATATAATTTAAACTTCTCATATAGATAATCTTTCTATTCTAAGTATATTATTATTTAGAATTATAATTGGAGTACCTTCTATAACCATATATTATTTAATATCTATACGAATATATAAAGGTCAATTATATTATGTGGAGGTAGAACCTCGTCGTCCTCCTAAACGTAATCATCAATGATTCGTCTTAAATAGAAGGAAAAGTTATTACCTCGTATTAAGTGTCGTTGAGTTAAAATATACGGGACTGGAAAACGTAAATAATTTATTAAGTTAGTGTTTTTTAATTTAATCATGGGTAATTTATTTTATATATATTAAATATGATAATGTGCAAGAATAATAGGGATAGGTTTAGCTACTACTGGTTTAATAGGAGCAGGAGTCGGAATTGATGTAGTTTTTGGAGCTTTAATATGTTATTTTAGGTTTTGCTTTCTCAGAAGCTACTGGTTTATTTGCGTTAATAATAGTTTTTTTGCTTTTGTATATAGCTTAAATTATATATAATTATATTTTTAGTTATGCTATCACAATTATATCTGAATTTATAAAATTAAAGTATATTAATTTGTATTCATAAAAAATTATTTAGGTGTTTTTATTAACCTGTTATTTTCTTTCTTGTTTTATAGATTGATAGTGTCATAGTGCACTCCGTTTCGTAGGCCTTAATTGACCAGAAATGCGCATTACTCAATATCCAAGGCTTACCCTCTTGTTGGTATTAGAGAAATACATAGATTCTATAAGGATCTTAAAAAAGGGTAGGGTAAGTGGAAAGGAAAATGTACATGAACATTTTCCTATGTTTTGGAGATAATAATAAACTAAGTTTGAAAGAATTTAAGTAAAGTTATAGTGGATAATATGTCTGTATAAATATTATACTTCAAGCGAAGGGTTTAGGTTTCAGATAGAAAATATTATAAATTAATAGATAACTTTATCAAAATATAGAATTTAAATGCGAGCTTTGCAAAGCCTACATAAAACTATAATTTAGAGAGACATTTTTAACTAGAAATAGCTTGGTATTATTCGAAACTTTCAAATATTTAATTAATAATATTCCAAAATTATAGGCATATTTTAATTATGTATATATAATATTAATTATGCTGATATTTTTTAATCAGGTTGGGTGTAGAATTTAATTAATATAAGTTTATATTAATATAACTTGAGGCATTGGTTATATTAATATAACCAATTAGTACGGAGTGGGTCGTGGTAGAGCCGTACGTTAATCTGTATATAACATATTTGGAGTTGTATAAAGGCCAAAAAATTTAACTTGATGAGAATAAATTACCTCTCATGGACGGATTTCTAGCTACACCTAGAAATAAAGCTCCAAAAACTACACCAATTCCGACTCCTGCACATATTAAATCAGTAATTGTTATACCTCGGTCTTGTCTCTTATTGAAAAATAATAGATTATATTATATTATTACAAATTGCAAAGTCCTCCTATTATAGAATAGTTCAGGTTAATCAGCAGGTAAGTTAATAAATATTTTAGTTAAAACCTCCAGAGATTACTTTAATATATCTTAGTAAATATAAAATATTTATATTTAAAGATAAAGACATAATCCCATCTTGCTTGAGAATGCAAGTTAATACTAATGTCTATATGGCCGCTTCAGACGTTGATGCTTTTTATATATTTGTGGCTAATTTCTTAGTATTAATGAGCTTAGGAGCTAAACACGTTGAATCACCATTTATAGAATTTGGGCAAATAAGTACAGTTCTATATTTTGGACATTTTGCTTTAATAGTTCTAGCTATAAGTTTACTAGAAAATACTTTAGTAGACTTAAGTTTAAGTAAGACAAGTAAGTAGTATATAATTAGTTCTTGTTATACAAAATATATTATGTATACTTCATAGGCCAGGTCCTGCGGTAGGAAAGAGGCCGTGGCTCCCATGCCGAGTATGATTGGGAACGGGAGGTTGCATATGAGCTTGTCTGAGCCGGAAGGGCTTGTCGCGGACAGAGACGTCATCATGATAGATATTAAGGCATCGCCATCTGATGACGGGTATGTCTTGAGACTCGTGAGATCACCTTCGTACTTGGCCTTGTCGATGGCACCGAAGAGGACCTCTCCAGCTGGGTTTTCTGTGGACATTGATAATTAGTAGGGGCTCACAACCCACTGAGTCTTAGTCGTGATCCACCTACCTTGTTTGTCGAGCCAGATGCTGTACGCCGGGGTCGGGATCAGACCCTGGGAGAACATGTGAAGCACGAGATTGTGAGACTCTGAGTCGCTTTGGCTGAGGTCCCACGCAAGCCCGAGGGCGGGGACTATGAAATTTGAGACATTGTACGCGACTGCCATCGAAAAATTCGTTATTGCCGAGTCCCCTAGTTTGACATTGTCCCTGAACATCTTCCCACGAGCATACCAGTAGTCTCGCGTGCCGTGCTTCTCGAAGTCAAAAGGCTCACTGGTGATTTCGAATGTTGAAGACAGGTTCTGGTTATCTGAATGCAACCTTGTCAGGACGTATCTGCTAACTGCATTGGCAACCTTGACCACCTCATGCTTGAACGTAAGCCATCATGAGTAGAACTTACATCCGCCGTACGAACAAGGGCCGTAGTTCTCCAATGTAGTATTTAGGCAAGTTGATGCGTTGCTTGACGGCAGCCATACCACAGAGGGTGGGAACATGTCTAACATGCTTATCTGAAGGCTGATAGTCTGCCCGGGAGTGCCAACAATCAACTGGGCGCTATTGTTTGTTTGTTTGTTTGTTTTGTATTTAACGTGGGGGTAGCTCCTCAGTAGTGCAAACCACGCCTCCCAGAGCCTCTGCATCGCAGGGTTGTGGAGGTCTCAAGATAATAAGTACAGTCAGTCCCGCTCACGGGCCCATCCCCGTTGTTGCGGCGGTATGACCTTGGGGTCATCCATCTGGTCCTTCAAGGAAGGCTATCTATCGGGGCAGATTGTTGAAAAGAACTTGCTCTTCTCCACGAATTTTGCCCATTCTGTGCTCCTCTCCCCTAAGTATTGTAAACAAGCTGCCCTAGGCGAGTACCTAGACAATAACCGATTTTTTCTTAACCTCTTACAAAAGAAAATATGTTGTGATGTTTTCTTTTCACTATAGTTGCAGTGATTGTTCGAGTCTGTATACCCAAAGCGTTCGTGGTATCTGGCAAAGTCGCCATGTCCAGATCTGGCCGCTAGAAGTCTGTGTAGAGTGCTCCTCTTAAAGGATATAAGGCCTCTTTTAGTTACTGCATGTGAGTATACTTCTTGATATCTAGGTTCTGATTGGTCTTTCCACCATTGGTTGAACTCTTTCTTGCCCTTTCTTTTGAGATCTCTCTTGACCCAAGAGATTATAGGAAGGTTTCTCATGTCTGTTTTTAGCATAGCACCCTCTTTTGTTAATATATCGGCAGCTTTGTTCCCATCAATATCTCTGTGTCCAGGAATCCATTTGACGGCCACTCCAGGAGTGTGTGCTGTGGCGAGTTCTTGGAATCGCAGAAAAATTTTCTGTGATGTCTCGGGTGGAGTCCCATTGAGCCCATCCACCACTGATGTGTTGTCCAGGCAGACATATAGCTGTTTTCTGTGTCTAATTGTCCTGACTGCTACAAGACCTTGGAGAGCACCATGGACTTTAACATCCACTACTTCTGCTTGTAGAAGTCTGCCCTTTCCCTGGTATACTTCTTGTGTAGTGCCGCCTTTCCTGATGGTATAACCCCATCTAGTGCGGGTTGTGCCTTGGTCGTCCAATTGTGATCCATCTAAATAGATGACAAGGTCAGTGTTCGTATTTCTCTCCTGTAACCATTGCTTGAAGAGCTCTATTTCTTTGTCCTTGTCTTTACGGACTGGGGCCTTCTTCCATGATGGCTTGGTGAGTATTGGTCTCTGGAAGTCAGGGACTAATTGGAAGCTTCTTTGTAGCCTTGTTGGTTCTTTGCGAGCTTGTATTTGGAGCCTGCCAACAAGAGGGTGTCTCTGGTCTACTCTTCTGAGTCAGAAGCCGTGACGTCTTCTTATTGACTCTGCAAGAATTCCTGCTGGAGGAATCTGTGATTCAAAGTGTAGGATATGTCCAGGGTGTGTTTTCCAGACCGGTAGGATAGCTCTGATTGCCGTTCGTAGTACAGTATCTATCGTTCCAAAAAGCCTTTTAATGCGACATGCTGATGTCCCACCTAAGCTCCTAATTTTTTCCATTCCTGGGTACCAGGCCTCCAGGCCGTGTGTAAGAATAGGAATAACACAAGTTTTCACAGCCTTCTTGGTTGACTTTACTGGAAGTCCTTTGACTATGTTGCATAGTCCTCGAATGTGGTTTGCTACCCTACTAACTTTCTTGGCCCAGTAAGAAACGTGATCTTTGAAGTTCAGTTTTCTATCCAGGAAGACATCCAGCCATCGCATGGAGTTCTTTGCTGTTCTGTTCATTGTCCCGTGGCGGACCGGAGGATTGTCTGAGTTCTTTTTCCGTGAGAAATGCATGATCTCGGTTTTATCAGGATCAAATTCAATAGCGTTGTCGTGTCCCCATTGGTTGAGCAGGTAAAGATTTTCAGAAGCCTCTTTGGCTGTTTCTTTGAGGTCCTTTCCAATGCAGAGAGTTGCTAGGTCGTCTGCATATCCAAAGCGTCTTCTTTTTATCCCGAGTCGGGCACAGATTGGCTCTGTATATAGCATATAAAGAATTGGAGAAGCTGGTGAGCCTTGTGGTAGCCCACAAGTGAGGGCTTTTATATCAGTCACAATACCTTCAAACCGAACTCTTGCGGATCGTTCAGACATGAATGACTGGACCCATCTTATGAGAAAGCCTGGCCAGCCCTGTTCTCTCATGCGAACCACCAGTCGTCCCATTAGGGCAGCATCGAAGGCCCCTGTCATATCTGCTGTGACTACCGTTGCAACAAGGCCTTGGTCAAGGGCCTGCTCAATATCGTGTATGAGTGCAGCTACCAAGTCAGTGGCAGAGCGCTTTGGTAGAGCTCCAAAATGTTGTGGAGCTAGAATTCCAAGTTTGATAACAAACCAGGCAATTCTTTTTGCAATGAGTCGTTCTAGGCCTTTGCCAAGACATGATAATAGCGATATTGGTCTGTAGGCCCTGGGGTTGGAATAGTCTTTCTTGTCTGGCTTTGGGATTATCACTATCTCAGCTACTTTGAATGGTTTAGGGTGGTGTCCAATCTGTAGACAGGTCTGGAAAAGGGCTCTGATATGCTCCCCAATGACTGGCCAGCAAGCTTTCAGAATCCGTACTGTGAGGGTGTCTACTCCCGGGGAGTTGCTCTTGGTCCTTATAGTGCACCCTTCAGCCTCTTCTAGTCCGACATGGTATTCGAGGGGGATGTGTGGCTTGGCTTGTGTGATCTGAACAGACCAGGGGTCGGTGATATCGTTGTCTGGGGTGCTTCGTTCAAGCGTGGCTAAGCGTAGTGCATTTGTTTTGCTCTCTTGTGACTCATAGATTTGGTCCCCAATAATGATTGGTGGGGAACGTAATCCTGCTGACAGCTTGTGCCAGGAAACAATTCTGTACAGGTCTTTTGGTTCAGTCGCTGAATCAATTAGAGTCTGCCAGTACTCTCTCTTAGCTTTTCAGACCACACAGCGAAATTCCCGTCGGGCTGAATTTCGCCCTTCTTGGCTTGTGGTCTGTTTAGAAAGGGCCCTGTATGTCTGAGCAGCTGCTTTGTAGTCATCATTCCACCAAGCAGTGGGCCTAGATTGACCGGGCTTCTTGCCCACTGTCCTGATACAGCCTTGAATCATGTTGATCAAGCTTTGTGTAAAGCTATCCACCTGGCCAGGGGATACACCTAGCTGGGGGAGTTCATGAATCCTGGTTTGGACATTGTCTGCCAGCTCTTGTAGTTTGTCGTCCGGTACTATCCAATGATTGGCCTTGGGAACTCGGTCCCGATCTCCCTGAATTGGAATGACTATTCGTAATGTCTCATGATCTGAGGTGCACTGAAGTGCATCATTGACTGAGGCTTCAGCCATGGGGACATCTGAGAACACCAGATCCAGTACATTTCCATCGTCTGCTAGAATATATGTTTACATTCATCGCCTTAGCGGCTTCGACAGCATTCATGAATACACAAGCGGTGTTTGGTTGTCTGCGTGGGCTCTCTAACAACCAAATGTGGTTTGAAATCGCGCATATGGGATGTTTGATAATCAGTCAGTGAACTTGGAGGGTGGAGGATAGAGTGCGACCATGACGACTTCACCCTCTTGTAAAGAAAGCCCTGTACCGTACTTTCGCGGGTATGCAGGCTCGGGGCAGTGTTGATTGGGTAGCATTGCGGTCTGATCCTTGCATCAGGAGGTTAGCAGTCTGCCACGGGCCTGTGGCCCAGGTAAGATAACTGCAGGTTCGGCGAAGGTGTGTGTCCGCATTATCCGCACCCGAGACCTGTCACGTAGCAAAATGTATGGTCGATTCTCCCGTGTATTCGTGCTCCTCGGAGGATTCCCCGGTACATGATTCTCCTCCTGGATATCCCTGTGTTGTGGGTCACTCCTTATCCTGTTATCACACGTGATACCCCTTAGCACCTACTGCCGTTCAAAAAGACCGAAAGACAAGATCATTAATGCTCCAAAGCCCCGTTGCGCTCGTCCTTGCCCCTACATTACCCTTCTTGCGACATCTGGGGCCTTGCGGAGGAGTGGGAAAGGCTGAGGATCGGGTGCCTCTAAATGCCTCCTGGTAGCTCACTGTCATCATTATAAGAGACTTCTTGGAATTTACTAACTCGATGTATTGACTCAATGCTTGAGCTGGTCGGCTAGATCGCGAGCTGGGATAATTGCTTCCCCATGGCTGTGGGGCCAATTAATATGCGGGCGTGGGGGCGTAAGCTGCTCATTTACTCCTTCAGGCCCTCCATACGAGCCCCTTGGTGTAGTCAGCGTAGTACACAGTGCACCAAGGGTGACATCCGTCCTGCTATGCGACACGCCTCGTCTCAGCTCCTGCTCTTTGAGTCATGGGTACTATAAGAACAACAAGTATATTTGTGCTTGTGACTGGCTGTTAAGGTGTGATGTCACAGAGTGAGAGAAGCAGCCAATTAGGTATCGTAGAGTAGGGGGTAGAGTATAATACAGTTGAAACCTGGCCTTCCTTCTAATGTGGGCATCTCGTAGACCCTATGTGCCCTCGTAGATACCGTATACCCTCTTTTCGGACGAATATCGCCGATTGGCTCAAAGACCCCTGACACTGGCTCGCATAACGCCAATCATACAGCGCATCTTGAGCACTACATCGTTGATTACCCGTGGTGTAGTCACCAACGTCGTAGAGTTACTGCAGTGAGTATCAGTTGGGGGAAAGCCTGATATAAGGCATAATCATCTCGAGTGGGCTGGCTGCCTGAGCCGAGCTGCCAATGCCTACAAAATAGGTCCTATCCTCTGAAGCTGTGGCTTCGTTTCTATGTTCTCAGTGCTACTTTGCTCGGGGCCTTTCACGACCGTAGCTGACGATCGATGCATTCCTTGATAGTATTATCGACACCAGCCGTACTTCAATTTGTCAGCAATGTCGCTGCGAGCTGCCCGCCACAAGACCATAGGGTCTAATCCGCCCGTCTACCAGAGTTGGCAAGTCGAACTATTGACACTGTCAGG